ACCACCATAATACCAGTGCTCTCAAGGGAGACCTACCAAAATCGCGCCCCATGCCATAAAAATTTTAATGATGATATATATATACAATTCTAATAATGATAAAATGAGAGGGGAGGGAAATGAACCCAATAATAAACTTAAAATAAACACAAATACAAAGTAAACATAATTGATGTTAGGGACCGACCAACCAACCCATCTGTTTTAAACAGAGACCGCCGCTGTATTCTGCCCAGGGACAAAATCAAGAGACGCTCTCGCTAAGGGAGTGGGAAAAAGTATAAAATATTAGGCTGGAATGGGAAAATATAAAACTGACCCAGTCGAGATGAAAAAAGGGGGGGGTCAAAACAAACTGGGGAGGTTGGGAATCTCGACTTGGATCATAACCAAAGAACGGCCGGGATGCAGGCCAGGAACAACACTTACTCACATTAACTAGGTACACTGAAAATGTCTAACCTAACCAAGGGAGGGTTCCACAGGAAACCACCCCGATGTGCAATAGGTTGACCTAAAAGAAAAATCAAGGCTAGCCCCGTTCACACGAAGCAAGCTCGCTTCTTTTTTTACCCACCTTTCGCTAAAGACTGTCGAATGCAATCGTTTTCTATCCGATCTAATCTTCATCTTGAGCTGATGCTCAAAGAATCGAATTAGATCCGAATGAGAAAGACGATTGCCTCGCAAGACTTCCTCCTTTCGCGTCGTCCAAATCACCATTCGAGCCGTGGCCATCAGTGTCAGAAACACCATCCGTTTCATCCCGGAATACGGGGGGCGACACATTGTCACACGCGTATGCGCGATCAATGGACACAAGCTGTTCGGGAGCGAGACGAGCCGTCAGCTCGCCGACATGGTCCCATAAGGGGCGGACCTGGGAGCAATGGTAGAAGGCGTGCGCAGCCGTTTCTTCTAAGCCAAGGCCACACCGTTCACAGTCTGGCAAATCCGCCAAACCCCATATGAAAGCCTTTGTCGTTGAGAGGCAGTCGATTCCGAGCCAATCGCCAGGTAAGCGAAAACTCAGGGCTACTGAGGTAATCCGCCGCTGGCGCCCAAGACCAGTAGGAGCGATACTCCTCCTCCGACAAGCCGAGCATATCTCCAACAAGGGGATCCTTCGCGGGCCCCTCCACTATGGCGCTCAATAGAAGACCTTCCTAGGCCGGATTGGATTTGCAAAAATGAGATGATGATTAAAGTCTCTTCAGAGGAGAATACATTTTTCTGAAGTATGTTAAAGGCTAATTTGGAAGATTTAAACTAATTGTCAAAACTGTTTAGAAGTTGCAGAAAGCCTGTTCATCAACAAATGTTCCTGAGAATATGTTACCAAGTCACAGTCCTCAGCATATAGATCTTTAAAATTCATTTTGCCTTTGATTGAAGACAGTTAACCTGTGGTACAATATCAAATTTCTATGCCAGCTTTACAACTATGCAAAGTATCTATCATCATTATTGGGAAACAGAGTCTCAACTGTGGCGACATTCAACACAGAATACGGCTAACAGGCTCGCTGTTGACAACGGAGAGTTCTTGATATCATCAACATGTCAGTCCACTGTAATGGTAACCAGATTCGTGACCTCACTATCATACACCAGGCCTCTCAATGAACTTGGTCAACTAATCCACCAACGCACCTTACCAGGCCATACAACGGATCGACATCACCAATATCACCCTACACCCGCTACCAACTGCATATGCCTCGTGAAGTCATGCTGGTACATCCACACTATATAAGTATTTTCATATAATTATGTATGCTGGCGTTGAGTATTCCGAAAATTGATCAATAAACACCTGTTGAAATTTTAATCCTTGTTCGTTCTTTCCTAAACCACCATAGATTGGGTAGAACAACTAGTGTCAGAAGCATGCAGCAAGGAAAATTAACTATTCAGATCTAATCTCGACCTTGAAGCAACTAGTGTTCAAAGCGAACAGCAAGAGATTAGCTAAGTAACAAAATGAAACCTCCAACAACAGAAAAAGAACTACAATGCTTCATCAGAGTTCTTATTTGGATTCGACAATTTCTTGAAACCCGTCAACATGAACGAATCTGACTCGACTCATTTTTCACACTGATGGCCCCTATACACAAACTCAACAGGGCCAGCAAACCATTTGTCTGCACTAAAAGTGTCAATAAACCTTTGAAAAATCAAGAAGTACCTCTCGTCACCAACAATCATTTTATTTCCCAACTTTACTAAAATCTTCACACACACCACTCACTATCTATGAATTAGATTGAGAACTGGGGGAGCTGTTATACTGCGCTGCAAATTAAATCTCTTTCTGATCCCCTTGACATGTCAGTCAAATATGAGCGTGAAGAAAGCAAAATCCAAAATAAAAAAGTTGTCTTCCGTGCTGAGGCTCCGAGGATCATATCCAGCCCACAAAACACAAATTTCTGCAAAAATCTAAAATACAATAGCCAATCACAAACATTGACACCAAAAACAAAAGATGAATATGGGAGCCACCAAATTTGCTTAAAGAAAGCCCATCATAAATGATTGACAGAACCTAACCGACAGGCCTTCTGTTGACAATGGAAGGCTCTTGTCGTCACTACAATGACCACCCCTCTTGTTGTAATCACAGTGACCCCCATTAATCTGTGGCAACAGCAACTAGATTCCAGACTTCACCCAAATCTTCACACACAGAACTTGGCTGGCAGGCTAGCTATTGACAACAGCTGGCTCTCATCATCATCACCATAACCACCTCTCTCGTCATCACTACTGGTCAATCCACGATAATGTCAACCAGATTCCTGACTACACCCAAATTTCCACACATAGAATGCAACTGACAGGCCAGTGGTCAACACCGGTGGTCACTCAACATCACCACTGTGAGCTCTGTCAGTTCAATGTGAAACAAATTTGTGGCCTCACTATCACACTCCAGACCACTCTCGACGTCACCATCGTGATTTCGGTCAACCAACATAACACAATTCCGCTTTATCAAGCTTCACAAGGCCTCATTGTAGAGGACCATGTAGGTTTGCGAGTTGTTGAATTGGGATCATGTGCTGTTTATTTCCTGCTAGAAGGCCCAACTACAAGAACAATGCGGACTTAAGTTGAGTCCAACCAAGATGTAAAGAAAACAAACAAAGACCGATATATATATATATATATATATATATATATATATGTCAACAAATATATGTATTAAACAACAAATTTACAAGTGACAAAGACGTCAACATTTGTGTGTGGACGTAAAGAGTTTGTTCTTTGGTGAATGTTCGCACGTACATGTATGTGTGTTTCATGGCATTTTCCCACAAGTAATCTCCGTGAGAGATTACATTTTTAAATGTGTTCTCTGAAATGCAAAGTAGAAAAGAGAACGAGGCAAGAAGTCGCCCAGTATTTATAGTGTAGGAAGAGAGAGCCTTAGTGAACAATTAGGGAATTAAGGAGGAGCTAACTCCGACATCATCACCACCATGACCTCAGTCAACCAAGCTGCCAATCCACCTTACTAGACCTTACAACCTCACCAATTCAATTGCGTATACATTGTTAAACTTAAGAAACTTAATTTAAGATTAATTACAATAAATTAGTTGTACATCAAAGTCAGGGTAAAGGTAAATTATCTGTTGAAGGTTGCATTGATAAAGAAAAAGGTATAGCATTGGTCCATACAAATTTAAGGTTCTCTAAGTTGAAACCAGAAAAGCAAGATTTTTTTATCCGAATTTCTAAAAAGTATTAAAAAAATAATTTTTACATAAAACCCCCTATTACTATTACATAATGTATACTACCTTTGCATTACCGTTTACTTTTTAAATTTATGCTCTCTAATCGACGTCAAACGATTAAGGAATGTGATTCTTGCTCCTTGATACGTTCTTTTTCTCCCTAACCCCTTTCTCATAGTACCTAGTAAAACGCTGGTCATGTTTTGTGTCGACTCTCTCTCAAACTTGGCTTGTCCTGTTGTCCATAACTTTGACGATAAAATTTTGTTTTTATTAAGTTTGGGATATTTCTTTCATGATGTATCCTTTTCTAGCAAATTTTTGGAGGTACCTACATATTTTAAATTATTTAAAATGTTTTTCGGAAGTCTGTGGCACTGCCTACAAAAAGTAAAAAAATCAAGAACCTATGGTTGACAACTGCGTAATGATTTTTTTTTTTTTTTTTTTGAGTGAAGGATAAATAATGTCAACCTTCTATTTTTAAATGTTGGATCAGAATTGCATTTTAAACTAGAAATGAAAACATTTTTTTTTTAAATTTAATGTTTTGGAAATCCCATCACAAACTACAAAGTGACTCGCAGTAAATCTGCTATTACTGCATTTGTTAAGTGAAAATACCATCCAAAGAAAAACATCAGTAAAATCAAAGTTTTGAGAATGAATTGGAACAGTGGAAGTAGAAATATTGATTTTGTTTACAACATTTACTTGTTTCATTCAAAGTGGAAAAAAAAATAAACATCCTGTTTTTACCACCTTCTTTCATTTCCTTTATCTGCTACTTTTAACTTACTTCCACTTTCTATATTGGGAAAAAAAACATTGACTCTACCCGAGCAGGTTAAAAAAAATCATTTTAAATTTTTTATTTATTCTTTTTTTTTCCTTTTTACAAGATGACGTAACTTGTTTTTTTTCTTTTTCATTTAGTGCAAAAAAAGTAACGAAAAGTAACTAAAAAACATATTTTCACATTATTAAAAAAAAAAGTAAGCCTCACAAACATAAAAACCAAAAATAATATCACAAAATGAACAATATTTCCCCCCAAAATATTTTTCATACTATTTTTACTTTACAAATAAAAAAAATTTTTAAATTAAATAACTTTTAGTTTTTCCTTTTTTTAAATGAACACTTTTCTTTTCTGGTGAGCATTATTAATTTATTTGCTTTGTTATTTTTCTTTTAAGGTTATTTCCCTTAGAAATCCTAAAAATGTTCTCCTACTTTTTATAGCGCATGAAATTTAAAAAGGTTAGTATTTGCTGCCTTTTTTTTTACTGATATCTCCTTTCAGAATAGTTCTCGTGTTTGTCTTCTGACAGAAATAAACAAAAAATATAATGAATTGTCATTGTGTTGATGATTTATTTTTTGAAGTTTCTTTATTATGAAGTCGATAATTCATTTTTTGAAGTTTATTTTCTCTAAAAGCGTTTTTTTTTTTGTTTAAAAATTAAAAACTTGCCAGATTATTACATTTTTCCTCATTTATTAAAATTTAAAAAATAGAATTGATTAATTAAATAAAATAAAAATTACGCTTTCTTTGCGTGTATAACAAATTGATCGAGGAGAAGGAGGTATATTTTTGTCTTGTGGAATGAGTGTGATTTTGTGTTGTGTCATGGTCTAATTTTCTTTTCGCATAAACTAAAATAATTTCTTTTTTGTTTGTAGTTTTTTTTTGTTATTGAAAAAATCATTTCTGTGCACACTTTACCTTTTTTAACAATAGTGAGTTTTATTCTCGCATTAACAACTATCAATTCAGCAATTTCCATTTTCTGTTATTCATTGCTTTTTATTTTAAATTTTTATTTACTGGTTTAAAATCCTAATTCTACAAATAAATAACTTACTTTAACTTTTAGTTTAAAAATTATTGAATATTTCAGTTTTCCACATCCTTCTTGACATGTCACACACAAAAACAAAAATAAATGTTGCAAAATGGAATATTTTGATATTTGCTAAAGAAAGTACTATTCATGTGATGACTACACATGAATTTTTTAAGAATGATTGCGATTTGTTGGTGTTTTTGGTAACAAATAACATTTTAAATAAATTGTACTTTGTGCTAGTCTAAAAACTTTTTAAACCGTTGTATTTGTTTTATTTCATTTTTTTAACCTACAATAAGTAAAAAAAGTTATAAGTAGATTGCGCGAGGTTTGCTTGGACAATATCACAACAATCGAATGAATGTTCTTATTTTTGTTTACTCGGATCTTGTGAACAAGATGTAAAAATACAAATAAGATGAGGACATTAGTTATGACCATCTGGTAATATCAGATATTCAGTTCAGTTTTTAAATGTATTTTTTTAAATAAAATTAAAAAAATAAAGGCATGCTAAAGAAAATCTATTCAAACACAAATTCTTTATTTGGTAAAAATAGGCTCCCAAAAATAATGAAAGCAAATTTTGTACAGCTTCTTTTTGTTTTCATATGATAAATGACTGCCTTTGTTATACTTCAAGTTGAACCTTTTTCTGAATCACTGTATATCAGATGGCCAGCAACAAGATGGTGAGAAATTGATTGGCATTGCAGGTTGATGCATAAACTGAATTTGAGAAGCTGCAGTCCATATCAAAGCAAAGTTAAAAACTAGAAAATAGGAATGCAGAAATAACTGCCTAGACTGTCTTTTCTCTAATGGTTGTTATGCCCATGAGTGAAGATCAAAAGCTGGTCACTCACCATTTGCCCACACCTTGTTAAGTCTATGGACAGCTACTACTCAGTGAGCAGTATTTCAAGCAACACACAATGCTACCTCGACCAAGGCATTAAAACCGAAACCACTACCACCCTTTATCCCACTATAGTACATACATATAAAATGCAGCAGCTGGACAGACCAAACCGTCACTCTAATAAGCTCAACCAAGTCCTAGGTGATGTAAGGCAGATAAACAGGCAACTCCTTAACCTAAATATGCATGACTCTGTGCCATGCAACCAGAATTGGAACCAGGCACCCAAAACACATCAGACAAAATCATGACTCAGCTATTTGCAGAAATTATGTGCACATGCTTCAAGGGCCGCAATTGATCACATGTACACCCATCTTGTGCTCAAGCACACGATCACAGACACCAACATAACAGAAATGGAAAACAAAACACCTAGTATCATGTAAATTTCTTTAAAGTGTTCTTTGCCTACCACACCACTTCACCCATCCCTACCGAGACAATTATAAATCATCTCAACATCGCCATAGAACAGGTATCTGATGATATGCTATCAAGAATCAAGGCCCTCCAAGCAGTTGATTCAAGTGAAGCACCCGACACTAACACAACTGATCCCAATCATCAGCATGCTACACTCTTTCAAAAGCACCTCCACCAATTTTATTTGAAATCTGGTGCTTCCATCTTAATTCAAGATGGTCAAAACATGCCCAAACTACTTGTACCATACAAACTCAGTGCTAGATATCTCTACCAAGCTCATGACTGTATAAGCTACACTGGTGTCACCCATATATGTGAACATCTTTCCAGTTACTAGTGGAAGTCCAAGAACCGCAACATAAAGGTTTATGTCAATTCCTGCATCACCTCTGCAAAGGCATGGTAACCACACAAACTAGCCCATTAATTATTATAGGTGAGGCAGAAAACCACTCAAAGTCATCTATATAGACTTCAGCATGATGACCATCTCCAAAGGCAAACAATTTACCTCACAATATTGGACATATTCAGTTAGTATGTCATTACTATACCATATGCTAAAGATCGTGCAACTGATATGCAAACAGAATATTTTTTTATGTATGGTATCATTTTTTTCCTTCATCACTGGGAAATAAACTGCATTGTGTCCTCCAACTATGGAACCCATTTCACAAGTGAGGTTTACAGGCATTTTTGTGAGCTAACATTGATCACACAGGAACTTTACTGTCCCTGGAGACCACAAAGCTCAGTTAACACTGAGTGGTAACACCACACAATGATAAATGCTCTTTAAATATTGTGCAAAGACAGGAATTTTGATGTCCTTGAATCTGTAGTCTCCTCTATGAATGCCACAGCCAACAACAAAGTTAGCATGCCACCACACTGTCATCACTAGTTACCACCTCAATATTAGTTTGCTCAAACTACCCCATAAAGACATCACTAACAACAATGCCAAGTCCACCAACAAACAACAAAGCTGACCACAGAGACTAAATTAAACCAGTTCATCTACAAAGACCTACAAAGGTTGGAGACAATATTTCTACTCCATCAACCTCAGTCAGCCATAGTCAACACATCACATTTACCCTGGGTAGATAACTTCAAAGACACCAAAACAAATGACATGGTACATGGTGAGAAACAAAAATCATGAAACTGACTGGGTCCAACACACCCATGTCTGTCACCTCATACCACAACTGAATCATCTGCAATACATGAACTTTCTACCTCTACATTTGCTGATTGCTCAACTAGCATGGAAGTTGCCACCTCCACTTCTGTGTCAGGAGTATATAGAGACACAACACTCAAGATCCAGTGAAACCACTATCTAAAATTATTGCAAATTAAATTCCCAAAAGACAAACACATGGACAACTGTCAACCCACATCAAAGACTTCATCATGTGCTAAATATCAACAGTACAAACACACACCAAATCAACATAAATATATACATCCCTTCTGCTCATATGCACACTACCTATGAATCAGAATTAGATCTGAGGAAGCAACTTCAAATTAAGCCTCCTTCTAATTCATTCCACATGAAGATCTGTTAACTAGATATGAATATTATGAAAGCAAAATTAAAAATAAAAAAGTTGGTTGCTTATAAGGACTGCTTATAAGCGACTCAAGGTAGTTCACATCTTCTCAGTCAACCTACCTGACACAAACTTCAATACAAAGCCAGTGCAACCAACTTTCCCATTTTTGAGATCAGACACTCTTTTGCACACAAGCATCAACTCACTCACCTATATTCTAACTTGATCCAATGTATTCATTGGTAAATTTATTTTAATATATCTTGTCACCTTTTTGTTATTGCCTCAGTATTGTTATTCATTTGTTACTCTTGCAAGTATATAACACATTTTTTCTATTTTAATGATATCCTTAATGAACTTTAGAATCTTCTATAAATTCATTGATTGACTTATTTGTCTCATCAGTCTTATTTCAGTCTGAATGTTTTATTTTAGTTCAGAAAAAAATACTATAAAATTTACTAAAAATATAAGCTATTCAGCTATTTTTCAACCATAAATTTTGTTATAACCAAATTTTGAAATATCTTAATTACAATATTTAGTTTTAAATGATTGTATTTACTTTGTTTTATTTTGTTTTATTTTTTTCTAACCAGTATCAGGATGTCTAATCAGTCAGGATCAGTCAAATGGACAGCTATTGTATTGACCTGTTCAGACAAGCAGTGGTCACAGTCTCTTCAACAAGGTATAAAAAAACTATTGTTACACTCAAGGAAACATGCCATAACCATTTTTTGTACATACACCAACATTTTATTTTTTTAATCATTTCACTACAAGCAAGGAAATAAAGCCTCTAGAATACAAAGAGTTACTGAGAGTGAAAGAAATTGAGTGAGACAATATAAGAACAGGATTCACAGAGACAAATGATTGACATTGCATTTAAATTTTTTTGAAGATCACAGTTGACAGGAAAGTAGAAAACCAGAAAAGAGTTCCACAAATAAGCCAAAAGATATGGAACATATGCCTTGTTCAGTCATGCTGTTTAAAGCCACCTGTGTTTGTAGGTGAAGGATCTTTGTGTATCAACCTCTCCACGATGTCACATAAATGCACAATTTGTCTCAGGTGAGACAAATTGAAATTCTGCAGAATTCTTCTCAAACCTATTCTGGGCAAATTTAGCTCAATGACACAGTTCATTATAATGGTAAAAAAAACTTTTTGGTAGTCTATCAATGGGTGCAAATGGTCATGAAGCAGTGCAATCAATGACATGTTTCCACAGACCATGCCACATAAATACACCCCACAACATTATGGAGCCACCACCAACTTGCACAGTGTCTTGTCAACAACTTGAGGTTCATGGTCTTGTGTAGTCTGCATGACCACTAATCCTACCATTAGACCAAAGTAATTAAAACCATGACTTATTGGAACATGCCACACATTATCAATCCATTCCTCCAATGTTCAATTAGCAACATTACAAGCCAGGATGAGGTGTTGCATCTGGTGTTGTGATGTTAACAATTGGAACACCAAACAGTGGTCTTCTCCTCCCATGTCTCATGAAAGCTAAAGAACACTAAAACAACCTACTGGATACGCATCTGCTACCTCATGCATTGAATATGGACATGATTTGAGTTAGTGTCTCTTGGACATTACTACAGAAAATTCAAACCAAACACCTTGAGTCATAATCAGTTGCTGTGCTGAAATCAGTAGGTGGTAATGCCTTCTATCAGGTATTCCCAGTACACATATGAAACCATAGACATCAAGGGATGTCAGATGTCACTACAATTTCAGAAATAGAATGTCCCATTCATCTGATTCCTGCTATCATGCCTCATTTGAATTCCAATAATTCATGTCATTTTGCCATGAGTAGCCTAGCTGGTGTTAACACCAACTCACCAGATATCAGATCAAAGCTGATAGAGGTCAAAGCATTTCAATGTTGTCAAAGTAGTGCCTCCTATCATTACTTTTACATAATGCTATCTGAAACTGACCACAGGTCTCAATGAAAAAGGTTCATGCTTCATGCTGATGTTATCCTTTTTATTCTGGAATACACTGAAAACTAGAAATAAATAATGAACATATCTCTCAAAATGGGAAATGGATAAACAAAATATATTTCAAAGAAATACATAAACAAGTAAAACACTTTTCAAACAGAAACAGTAACAATTTTAAGCAAAGAAATGATAAAGGTACAGTGTCTTAGATAAATGTTGATTCAGTAGTTGAAAATTGCTACCTCTTTGGCTGGCAATAGCTAAAGAACACATGGTAGTTTCTTTACCCTTCATGGTAGCAAACTTAGAAATTACAGCTAAACTAATATATGTATGTGTATATTATTATATACAGAATAAAAATTATACTCCTAATTTTTTAACTCTATTACTACTGCTACCATAGCACTATTAAGTAAAAAACTCTCCCAGTTTAGTAATGCATATATCAGTCCCTTCAATGACCATTACACTATCTCATAACTTTTGGCATATCATTCTATATGAAAGTTGCCAATGTTATCAAAATTTAAAAATTTCATTTTTCGTTAGCATTTTATTCTGCTTCCTACTTAGCATTATTAATTAAACATGAAGATGTAAAAGAGTAATGGTGAAGTACACTTCTTTTTGATTACTTATATTACAGCTTATACATTTTTCCTATTTAAAAAAAGCAAAAGAATTTCAGTTTGTCTTGTTTAAAATTGGGACAATTTCATAATTATAGTGTAATCTAAAAAAAATTTTTTTCATGCAAGTTTCTGAACTTTTAATATAGTGATATACACATATAAAAGGATGTTAGAAGCCCAAAAGTGGAACCTGGAATATGCCTACTCAAAGTTGATCTATTTTTATTTTTGTCTTTTTTCCTCTGTACAATTAGGCAATCAAATTGGTTTAGTAAGGAGCTCATCAAACATTTTTTTATTGTTTAACCATATGAAGCTTGAAAATTCATAGCAAGTTATAAATAATGTGATTATTTTTATTTATTATCATTTTAATTTTTACTGTCTTCTGTAATATTTTCATACCATTTTCAGATTAATTTAAATGAAGTTTTGTATTATTTATATTTTTTGTATATTTGAAAAAAATTGGAATGTGTAAGAAAAACAAATACAGAAAAGATTTAAATATCAAAACATTTCAATTTTAAATCTTTTCTGCACTTGTTTTTCTTACACAAACCAATTATTCTCAAATATACCAAAAATGTCCAATATTTTAAAATATTTAGAAAACTTTGGGTAATACATGTTACTAGTTTCAATTATCGCTGATAACTTTGCAACTATTTGTATATAAGTATTTATAATATATGTATATATAATATATCGTATGTTTAATTTTTATTTTCCAGAATTTGAATTAAGACAAGCAAAAGGTTTGGTTGACAAGGAAACAATTTTATTGACAGTTGAAGATCCTCAGTCTCATGTTGGCAGTGGAGGTGCCACTATCAATGCATTGCTTGCCATTACAGAATATATCAGTGCCTGTAAAGGATATACTGTTAGTTGCACTTTGTTCTGTTTCAATTTACCTGTTGTGTTTTGCATATCTCTCCGCATAGTAACAGTCATAGTACATGTTATGTTTAGCAAACAGGTTTGCTAGGCAAAGTTCCTATGTTCACCAGTTGTTCTCTATTTATACTTGTCTATCTAATTTGTATACGATTCTACACCTCCCTGAATCAGACAGGTCATATACCCTTGTTTTTTCTTTTACTATTCCTGATTATTTTTGTATTGTGTTATCCTTCCTCTTGTCTTTCTTGTTGATGATCTTGGTCTCTCTTCATTTTCTTCTTCATACTCATCTGTCTTTTCATTCTCACTTTCTTCCATTTCCTGCTTTGTTCCACTTTTGTAACTTTCTGTCTCTTCTTGTTCTTGATCTTCCATTTCTACATCCTCCAGTTCATTTCTGCTTCTAAACTTATCTGCATGTGCCATTATATGTTGTCCCTTTTTCTCAAGTATAGTCGTGTTGTGTTCTTTTTGTATCAGGAAATTTGCTTCTTCTGGATCAGCCTTTTTATTCTTTCTATACCATACCTTTTCTTTCATTGCAAAGGACATAGTTATGGGGGCTCTGATTAATGCCAAAGGGCTCAGTTTTCTTCCTGCATGACAATGGATCTGTAACTGAGGAGCATTTTGAATATAGTCCACTTTCATTAAGTGGTAAGAACAATCCCATTTTTACCATTATTTCCACAATGCCATTAGATTGGGGGGTGATACAGTGGTGTCTTGTGGAATGCATCCAATCTGTTTTAACCACATGGCTAAGTTCTCATTGCAAAATTCAGGTACATTGTCAGTGACTTTTCTGGAGTACTCCATTCCTTGAGAATTTTTTTCTCATTTTTGCTTTTATTTGGTGGCATTTCTGCCTTTTTACTCTGACAACCTCTGGCCATCCTTGAATATCCACTAATACAATCCATATGGCTTGATCCATGGGATCTGCTTCCCTTGTCATTTGAATTTTTGCTTGCTTGAAGTTTTTATTTCCACATTTGGGCATCTCATCATGTATTCCTATACATCTTTTGAATATCCTTCCTTCCTGTAACTTTAGTCTTCTTTGTGTTGCTGTTATACCACAATGCACATCATCATTTACTCCTTTTACTATGTCCCTTCTCAGTATTTGTGGAGCTTTGCATATTATGCCATTTTCTATGGTTAGTTTGTGCTTCGTTTTATCAAACAATTGCTCCATATATTATTTTTAAATTCTCTCTATTATTCTGCTTAATACTGGATTTTGCTTTGTTTCTATTTTGAGTCTATTTACAGGAAGAACGTCCGTTTCTACCCAGTGTATCTTCAACATTTTCCTGTTTTTCTTCTGTTTTACTCTTGAACTGTAATCTTGATAAAGTATCTATGTGAGTGATAGTGTTCCCTTTTACCTATGTTAAAATCAAATGCCATGATTTTTACTGCCCATCTTAAAATCCTTGATGATATGACTTTTGGCAATTCTTTTTAAATATGAATTCTAATGGCTTGTGTTCTGATTTTAATAAGAATTTTTTCCTATCAAAGTTTTGTGCTCCTTTTTCAATATTCACATAGTTAGTTTCTGCTGATGTTAACCTTCTTGATATGTACATGATTGGGTGTTCTTCTTGTGATAGAATAGCAGTAATCGCCTTTTCACTCGCGTCTGTTTTTCTTTTGGTGGATCAAAAACTTTTATTATTGGTTTGTTCCCCAGTATTTTCTTTAATGTTTTAAAAGTGATAGTTGCTTTTGTATCCAGTTAAATTCATTGTTTTTTGTTTTTTTTGTGTAATCTTTCAAATAGGCTCTATTTTGTCACTGTATCTTGGTATCTATTTACTATAATAATCTATTAGCCCCAAAAAGGATTCTAATTCTTTTTTTTCTTTTTTGTTGAAGCAGCTATTTCTGTTATTTTCTTTGTTAGTCTATTTTCGGGTGATATGCCTTCTTTTGATATTCGTTATCCTAAATATTACAGTCAAAATTACACTTGTCTTTGTTTACAGCCATGTCTACCTTTTTTAATCTCACTAAAATTTGCTTTGTTTTATATTTTAATTTCATGTTTAGTTCTTGCACCTACACATATATCATCCAGGTATATTGTTATATTTTTTATTTTTCCTTTCAATTACTTTTCAAAAAATATGACTTGAAGCCTTTACCCAAACAGTAGATGAGTTCTCCTTAGTAAGCCTATAGGAGTGTTTATTGTAGTGATTTCCTTGAATTTCTCATCAATTTCCATTTGGTTGCATGCTGCCTTGAGATAAATTTTTGCAAAGTGTTCCATTTTTGCTAATTCATGGCTCACAGTTTTGACATTTGGCAAAGGAAAAGAGTCTGAACATATCTGGTGATTTACCCATATCTTATAATCACCACAAATCCTTAAATCTCCGTTAGATTTCTTTATCACTACTATTGGTGACACCCAATTGCTACCACCTTGAGTTACTCTTTCTAGTATGCCTTGTTGTATCATTTTCTTTAATTTGGCTACTACCAAAGGTAGGATATGAATTGGAACATTTCTTGACTCTATATATTTTGGGTGATAATTTTCTTTTAGTCAAATGCTTGCTTTATAGCCTTTCAATAATCCTATTTCATTTTCTTCTGCTTCCATGGAATTGATCAGTCTCACTGAATCTACTTTTAATACATCAATTCCTAGTAATCTTTGATCTTTTTCACATTCTACAACTGTAATGAGAATTACTTCAAAACGCTTGTCAGTTTCAAAATTGCCTTGAAATGTACCCATTATTTTTATAGTTGTTCTATAAAATTGCTTTAATTGGATGCTGCTTTTTTTAATTTAGGTCATCCTAATTTTATCCAGAAAATTTTTGATATCAACGTGACTTCACTGCCTGTATCAACTTGCATGTTCAATATCTGGACATTTATCCTTATTTTTCCTCTACTTCTTTTTTGTGTATTCATTGTAAATATTTCAGTTTCTTCAGAGGAGGTTTGTACCATTTGTACTCTTTCTATTTTCTTTTTGTATTCGCATACATTCTGAAAATGATCTCTATTTTGCAATTTGAGCATATTTTTCCTAGAGTTGGACATTTGTACTTCTCTCTCTCATGATTTTTTTCATAATATCTACATTTAATTATGAATTTGGTCATGCTCGTCCTGTACATCTTGAATTCTTCTTTTGGTTGATTAAATTCTCTAATCAACTCTAATTGTTATAAAAATTTAACACTAGCTTCCAAACTCATGCTACTAGTATATAGACATTTTAGTATTTTTCATTTGTGGTTTTGGTCTTACAAGCCTTCAATTATTCTGAGAAGGATTAATTCATCTTCTGCAATCGTTTCCCAAGCTCCCAATTTTACAAATTCACAATACTTGGCTTGTTCTTTCAATCTATGTAAGTATTGTCTAATGGACTCATTGGGGGCTTGTCTTTCAGCAATGACCAATCTTTTCTTTGGTCTTATGTTGTTCTTTATAATTTTAATAATTTCTTCAAATGTCTTTTCTTCTAATTCACTTTTTTTATTCTTGCAAATGCAGCAAAAGTTCTTATCCATGTGCTATGTGTTCTGGATCATCCAGTGAATTTAATGATCATATCGGCGACAACATTGTTATAGTAGCAGTCACATTACAGTTCTCTATGTTGTGTTTAGCAAACAGATTTTCTGGGTAAACTTCCTATGTTCACCAATTGTTCTCTATTTATATTTACATATGATACTACAGTACCTATATTTAATGTAAAACTATGTTTAACAAAATAATCTTTTAAAGATTTTGACATCATTTAAAAAGAAAAAGAACTGCATTGAACATATTTTGTAGCAACTTTGTTTCTTTTTTCTACCTTGTTAGCTTAATTACATAAATATTGTCTATATATAATAATGTCATGTTGCAAATGGTGCTTCTACCTGATCTATAGCCTTGAGCTTTTTTCTTATATTTTTTAAAATAAATGATAACTTTTAAGAGACCTACTATTGTTTTTTTTTCTAATTTAGATAATTGAAGTAAAATCCAATTGTGAACTTTAATCATACTATCTGTGTTAACATGGGCAGAGTGTGATGAAATCTAATACTACAGAATTTTTATCTTTTAACCCAAATCAGTAAGATTACACGTCCAAAGAACAATAAATGAATAAAGTAATTAAATAAAATTTGAAATCAATGAACTTGGTCAAAATGGAAGACATAATTTTGTTTTGGGATGTGCAATCTTTTGTTATTTGATATTTTTTATGACTGTTAGCAACTTAATGAAAACATGTTTTCTAATTGTGTACAGAAGAATACTCTCTACTTCCCCCAGTGATAACTACATGGATTTTTTCAAAGAGCTTGTTATAACTCACTCTGCTGAAACTTTCCTTAGGTTTGTGATGTGCAGTTCCTGTTAGTTCATGTGAACTTATGTAAACCATCTATTTATATAGTTCACAAAGGATAAGGACAACAATAACATTCCTTTTTTTTTTTTTGGACACCCATAAGTTGGGTATAAAATTACAATGTACAAAAGCTAACACATGATGTTTATCTAAATTTTGTGTTTAAACATCCTTTGTTACTCTATTGCTTTTGACATCTGTTAAATATCAGCAGTGATATTGTGCAAAGATGAAAGGAGAATGAAGGGATATTCATTCCAATGAAATTATCTTTTGTTGTTTCTAATATGATGAATCCCAAAGACACCAACTATATAGATACAGCAAGTAAATAATAAGTTATAGCTGAACAGATTTAAAATGTTTGTTGAAGTTACATCATTACTGTCTTTCATCAGCAGTTCCACTCTTTGCAATCTCCATACTTGAAATGGTCTCATACAAGAAAAGATATGATAACAAATGTGAAAAAATATATGGGGGCCATTTGTTGAAAATCACATTCAATGAACCTAATAAAGCCATATTGAGGTGGAAGTAGACAGAAATTTGAGAGTAGACTATATATGGAGAAAAAAGGTCTTCACTAGCATGAGATCTAAATGAGTAATAAAGAATACTGGTGGAGACTGAGGAAATTGAAAAAGGCTGCATATTTACCTACTTGCATAACTTATCACTATTTTAGTATGGTGTTTTCTTTTCTTTACACAGTAGGGAAGGAATTGGAGAAGACTTCCATATTAAAGTAAAATCACCTGTGTTACATGGGTGGTTGGGAATGTTATTGTTTATGTATTTTGCTGAAATAAATAAATAAACTGGTTGATATATTAGCTTCTGTGTCCTGTTTACCAGCTTGGTCTGTCAAAAATAACCATCTTTTATGAATTATATATCAGAAAAGGTAGTAGAATGTATTAGCCCAAACAACAACAGTAACAAAGAATGAATTCAATTGTCTGAACAAATCTTGTAAGATATTTGAATTCTGAGATTACCAGTTTTTGACTCATCTTCATTTTGTTGTTGCTTTTGTCACAACTTTCTAAACCAAGCAACCTCTAACCATTTAAGTAAGGATATGCAAAGATTATTTTCTATGCTTTTTTTAAAAAAAAGCAACCAATTTATTATTACAAATTAATAAGATTGAAAAAGACAAACTGGAATCTTATGCCTATGTAATTAAGTAACCATAATTAAAAATTCTTACTCAAATTTTATCAATATTAAATATTTTGTAAAACCAATATGGCACATGTATATAGTAGTCTTTAAAATTATGAGGATTTCCTCACTTCAGAAGAAAAATTTTTAAATTTTCTTTCTGTTCCTGATAATTTTCTTTCTTTTCCTGAAAGCTCAATGTCTATTTCAGGTGATCAATGCTGATGTTCTGAAAGATGCATATATCCTTATCCTCCATAGTGTAAGTTCTCTCTCATATCTGTTAAGTATATTGTACTATGGATCATGAAGTTAGGAAATAGCATATATAAAATAAATGTTGATAATTCTATATATGATATTAAATATAACATTTCAATGATATATCCACATTGTGTTATGTTAGACTTTAAACTTTTGTCCTCTAGAATGTTAATAAAGAAGCAGGAAATGAATGACATGCCAGATTTAAAATTAAGTTTTAAAATAATTTATTTCCAACTTTTGCATTAATACAAAAGTTGTCTCTAGAATATTTAGAAAATCATGATTCTTTTGTCAAATGCCTATGTAATGAGTACATCAAAATAATGCCTGGAGTTTCATCAGGTACTGTTTCTTTCTGGTTGTCAATATAATGATCCCTTTTCTATATTCTGTTGTACTAGTCAGTTATTTCTTTGTTTGAGAGAGTTGCATGTACAAAATGTGAAATTGTTGTAATTAAAGTATTTGCTATGTTTAAATATTTTGATGCAGCATGTCAGTTTCATGTTAGTGCAATAACAATAAAAATAAGATTATGACTTTGTTTTTAAGGATAAAATATTTGCATTTTTTAAATATGCTCAAAATAAATAATTCTATTATCAAAAAATAAATCAAGTAACTCATTATTTTTATAAACAAATGCTAAATATTTCAGAAATTAAAATTTATTAAATTTTCAAATTATACTGTTAAAAATGTCAAGCTGTATCATTTTCAATATCAAAAATGGTTTTTCTCAAATAACTAAGCAAGTTTTAAACACCATCAATGAAAATTTATTTATAAAGATCACAAACTATCAGATTGGAAATGAATAACAAAAGTTATTTTTTTAAATTGATCTTTAAAGTTGAATATACATATTATCTTAAGTTAGGTGAGATATGATATACATGCTGGTAGATATAAATTGCATTTCTAGTGCTGTCTTATTATTAAGCTCAGCTCTTGGGATTTTCTCTTTAAACTCAGCCTTGTGCCATATTCTAATCAAGTAGGTGTACAGATAAATGCCAGACTGTTTTACATAATATTTAAAACACACACACACACAAATTTATATATATTTAATTAATTTTAGTGGGTTTTGGCAGAGACACATAGATACATACACAAATTTTGAGCATATTTTTATTCATTTCATCCTAAGCAAGTTAATAAAGTCACTAAGATGCAAGGTGTTACAATGTGTAAGAGAATATAAGGAAAAAAAAAGCACTATTAAGGAGAGAGTACAATAAAAGAACAGGAATTAAGAAGATACTGATTGACATTGCATTTAGATTTTTGAAGATCAAAGTTGACTGGAAAGCAAGAAGCCAGAAGAGAGTTCCACAAGCAAGAAATGTGAGAGAAGAAAATTGTTAGTATAGAACTTATGGTTACATCTAGCGGCCATTTCAACTGTAAAATGACAAGACCTTGTCACCAATCTACTACTGTGCTTAAATTCATAAAGTCTAGGTACTATAGAAGAAAGTTCATCAGAACAATTACCATGAAAGTATTTATAGAAAAGGTACAGAGAAGCTATGTTACAGTGGTGAGAAAGTGACTGAAGGCAAGATGCCAGGTCAGGACCATTAACATTGCAGATTTTTCTTTGTATTTTATCAAGAATCTCTAAATACATAGCAGAAGCACCAGACCATATGTTAGCCTGAGAAGGTGCAATGTGTCACTTTCCTGGAGGTTAGCATCAGCCATGCTGATGGAAAGCAAAAAGGAGTAAAATGTTCATAATAATAGAAGTCTTAGTGATAACACATTAGATCTTCGTAATAAAAGAAACTTGCTAAATAACACTTATTTTAAAAAGGAAACAATCTGATGTATAACACAATTTAAAAAATAAGCAGTATATATTTTTATGAATAAAGATAATAAATGCATAAGAATATAATAAAAATTATATATAATGAACACTGAAAAACATAAGATTAAATAAAAAAAATTATCATCACTCCCTTCTTTTAAAAGTCACATAGATTTCTTGGAACAATGAAAAAACACATCTATTCACAGTGACATTCAGCATTCAATTATATACTAGATTTGTAAAGTTGTAAAATACTGAAAAAATTATAACATCTCAAAAAAATGATAGCTTCATTGTTTATCAGATATCTTCTATGAGATGTGCCTAACAATATCATTTTACTTCAAAATTAACTTTAGTCATCTTAGCAAAAAATATTGTTATACAACTTGCATAAATATCTGTTTTTTCTCTCTTCATAATTTTTCTTTGTTTCAGGGTCGGACATACACATACAGTTCCTGCCGACATGCATTCCTCCCATTACCAGTCAAGTACTTTGAGTCTTACTATGATTCACTTGTGTGTTTGGTGGATCTCACTTTAAACATTGTAACAAGAAAAGTAAGGCATTTTCTTCATTTGTAACTTTAGCAAGTTTGCTCAAGAAAAAAATTATTTCTTCTGCATCCTGTATAATTTTTATTTCTAGCAAAATCGGGAATGAAATACAGCAATAGTTTTATTATGTCAAATGCAAATGTATAAACTTGAGGAGTGGACAGATAAAGAAGCAGCTTATAATGAAGCACTTAATAATGACCTCAATAATTAAGACTTAAACATCATCTCACGTTATTATCCACTTTATGTTTTATTGATATATAAAATAAATACTTATTGAAATCTAAATGTTTATTTTCTGAGTGATGGAAACATCTATCTGCACAGTTAGGGTGAATGCCAGTTCATTCTGTGTATATGTAAACAAATTTATATAAAATATTCTGAATTTCAAATTCTCAAATTAATAACCACATTACAATTTTGAAGCTTTAAAATTTGCCTCAAAGCTGATTTGATGGATCAAAAAGAAATGTTTAGAAACTTCCAAGATTTCAAAAGGCAAAAAGATCAGCAGCTACTATAACATATTTAACTACCTCCATGTACCACCAACCTAAAAATAATAATTGGAAATTAAAACAATAAATATTTGTTTTTTTTTTCTCTGCTGTTGAGAGAAAATACCAGTTTGACAGAGCAGAATTCTAGTTGCCATTGTATTTCCTGTTTTGAGATATTCTGCTTTGACATCACAGTATTTCAGGTGCCATTGTTTTTCCTGTTTTGGATACTTACTCAGGCATCATTTTGTCTGTGACTTTTTATTTGACATTTGAACCCCCATTTTTTTATTATACGTATCAATGACCAGTAGATTATGGTTTAACCATCTAGGTTGTATTCAGCCTAAAAGACCTTTACATATCTTATTAAAACTGCAAATTCAGGTAATTGAAATGTTGCAACCCCACCCCTTACAGATTCTTGAAAGACTTTCAGGAAACCAAGAATGAAAGGTAGGGTTGCAATCCTCTTCCTATTGTACATGTTGTTCAACCATGTCTATATTTCCATGTAGTGGTAACACTTCAATCACAAATTCTATTTTTTTATGTTGGTGGTCATAGAGTGGTAGTTAAAGTCTCTACAATACCACTGAACTGTAAAGAAGTTCATTGAAGATTCTCAATGACTCTGATCTATCTGATCAGTGCAAGTTAAGAATTTTATCTCACCAGTGTGTTATTTATCAAGTGAAAAGTTATAAAAATCTTCCTTTATCAAACAATGACATTTTTAGGCATTGTGATAAAGAAGTATAAAAAATATACACAATGACTGGTCCTAAATCAAATGACAGAACATAAGACTGATTATTAGGTTTCCTTTAAAAGGCATCTGAAAGGAAAATTGAATGAAATGGGTAACAGAATACTTGAAGACCAATTTTTTAACTGTTCTATTCACCAGCAGGTGCCATGCTACCCTCAGTGAGAAATAGAGCAAATATTGGGTGACTACTGGCAGAAATAACCCTAATAGGCAGTGGTGGTATGATATTTTAGTGGGGAAATTGGCAACTAGGTTTTACTGTTTTACTATTACTAGATTAGCAATTAGGTCTCACCATTTTACTTTTGAACTAGCTATATTCAACTGTATATTCTATTCTAATAGTTTTTTCTTGTGCTTCTTGCTTCTGTAATTCTCTTCAGGTTTCTTAATTAACCTGCCACATACAATCTTCAAACATTTAAATGCAATGCCAGTCACCATCTTCTGTCTTCCTCTATCCTATTCTTTTGTCCTTTCTCCTCACTAAAGTTTTCTTATTCTCTTTCACCAGTAACTCCTTGCATCTTAGTGGCATTATTGTCTTGCTTGGGTTAAAATGATTTAAAAAATGTAGATGTTGAAGTAGTAGACCAAAGCAAATTCCAAATGTTAAAATGAGAGCTGACATAAATTTTTGGAAGGCACATGTGGAACTTTGATTCAAAATACCAAACACTTTCAGAAAGATGATTTTTATCCATAACAATCTTCCATCATATTGAACAAAGAAAATTAATGAATATCTGAATAAAATTGGTTTCAAAACGCTTGATGAAATAGCCAGCTTGTTTAAGAATTTGAACCTAATTGAAAACTTGTGGAGCATTCTGAAAATGTGGAAATTAATTTAGATTTCATAAGCAGATTGCAATTACAAGCAAAATGAACATTGAAATTCTATTCTGGACACTGTGAGTCTGTTTCATATGAAGAAATATAATAGTCCAAAAGATCAGTGGATGAATGAGTTCTAAAACTAGTTTCAAAAAATAGAGAATATATTTCAAATTAATAATTCACATAATTACAATGACACAGTCTTCAATTTTCTTTTCAAAACGTTTGTAAACGTTGCATATGTTGTGTAATCTATAATTTTTAATTCCAACATAGTGTTCCTTAGAGTTTCAGTAATGTGGATAATCATATGAAATATGGAAAATCTGAAACTGTTGCCACATAATAGGAGTGGCATATAGTCTACTATAATTTATGCATATTATGTAAATCATCTTTCACTTAATACTTCTGCAAATCTCTTCATTAGTTTTCTAAAATAGAGAAAATACCCAATGATATGAGTGTAGATATACACACTTTCTTCCTCAAAAAAAAAAAAATTTTGTTCATATGTATTTTGAGTTCCACTGAAGTGAAATGGCTAAATTTTCATGAAAGTCATTTTCAAACCAATCTTCATACATAAAGCAACTTTTATCATGATGTCTGATTGCAATCAGATTAGGACTCAGCAAAGTTGGATTAAATGTTTACAAAATATCCAGTAGATAAAAAAACACAAAAAATTATCACTGCTAAATAGTTCTTCAAAAACTTCTGTTAAGTGAACAAGAACCAAAGTTCAATACTAATAATCAGTTCAGCCACAAATAGTGAAAAAGAAGAGCAAAGCACTTCAAAATAATCACTTGATATATAGCCTTGACTAATTATTTTCAAGTGCTTTGTCATCAATCAAGTATGAGGTGGTGAAGTTTTTGTTGTTCTTAAGAGCACAACAATGTTAATACACAGTGTGAATAGATTATCTTATATTGGTCACTATCACCTGATTACATAATAAATTTATCAAAATTGAACAAGATGTGTCTCATTAGTTCATATGAAAATAAATTTTCTTTTTGCTGCTTTGCATTCTGTATATTTCTTGAATAGCTAAAAAACTAAGGCTCCTCTCAGCAACAGTTCTATGCTAACAGTTTTTTCTATCACACTTCTTGTATAACTCTCTTCTGGCTTCTTGTTTCCCATTCAACTTTGATCTACAAAAATATAACTGCAATGTCAAACATCATTTTCTGTCTTCTTCTTGTTCTTTTAGTGTTCTCTCTCCTTAATAGTATTTTTCTCATACTCTCTAACCCTTAGTAACCCCTAAGTAACATCTAAGGGGCTTTATTGGCTTGCATTGGGTAAAATGATTAAAAAAAAGGCATACTCTTATCATCAAATTGATAAGTTACAATTTTAAACAGCAACCTAAAGTGAGTAGATGATATAATTTCTGTTAACACCAGGTTGTATTGCTGCTGAATATTCATATTAAAGTGCGGGAAAGCTGTATAGGAGTTGAAGTTAATGTAATAAACCAAATTAATGGAATTAACGTTCCAATAAATAAGAGAAACCTGTACATCAGACACTACTGAACTTTATAAAGATGTTAAAATACAATTGATAAAAGTGTGGTCAAATGCTGCTCCAAAAAATGAATGGAGGAACTGGAACAAAGACCAGGAAATTAAGAAAATGTTACAGCACACAAAGCTTTTCATAATTCCTTCTCCTCCTCTAACACTTTGTGATTTCAATATGGTTTGCACTCAATAGGGCATAACTAGAATTTTTTGTGGGGAGTGGGGATCATATTTGTTCTACACAAGATAGAACTGTTTGGAGTTGCAAACAGTCCAATTTACATGACTTCATCATTTATATGAATACCATAAACAAAATCTGAATATTTAAAATTAAAAGATTTAATGACGGTTCAATTTAAATTCATTTTCAGAGAGCAGTTCAAACAATTATAGTTGTTATTTGTACTAAATATATTGTCAGAAATTGAACAATATCCCAAAGTGACTGAAATTAATAAATTTAAAGCCTGACTATTGAAAGGTCTCACATGTTAAAAGAAATCACTGGGAATTCTATATTTGACTAATAAACTACAATGCTGGACAAGCATTTTACAGTACATTCCAACATTATATGCAAATTGTATTTCTTAGAATATCCATTTACAGCATGGATTTTCACAAATCTTGAATAAAATGGTTAGTAGCATTAGCGTGCACATATTGTACAAGTGTACTTGTACTGTTAGTCATTTTTGTCAAATCATTTATTTTCCATCATTCTAAATTTTATATGACATGAACCACAAAGCATTTTTGAGAAATGATGAAACAGCAAAAATTATTCAGCTGAATAATTTGAATGAAGAAAAAACAACTGTGGAAATTGGTAAAAGTATTCCAAGAGATCACCATATGATCAAGAAATTTATCTCAAACCCACTTGTATGCAGTACATGTGCTGACAAAAAGATTTGTGGATGCTTGTCTCTTGAAAAATAAAAGTTCATTTGAAAATCAAGATGCATAATAAACACCTGCTAAAAGTGGCAAAGAGTTATTCTCCTCTGTTGAAAATCTTTAATACCACATCTTGAATGAATATTTCAAATGTTCCAATTTATATGCAAAGATCTGAAGTGGTAGAAGGATAAAAAATGAATAAGAATGACTAAAAACTACAAGGATTTATTTAAAGAAAATGACACCCAAAGCAAAATATTCATATTTACAGCATAAATGAAATTCTCTATTAGAATGTTAGGCATATTTTTGACTGAAATTAGTTTTCTAATTATTACTATTTAATTGATTTACTTATGTTACAATGCACTTTAATTAAAAGACCTACCTTTCTCTTAAATAGGCCATTCTGATAATGTCTCCCATGATTAAACCTCACCAACAGAGGAAGTCCACATTGCATTTATGAAACTTAAGTTAGCAATTCATAAGAAATTTTGTGTAACACTAATCAGTTTTGACTAAAATAATTAAAACAAAAAACCTCTGAAAGAAACCAAGTAATTCAAACTGTTATGCTTTGTGCCCAAAATATCTAAAACAAAAGAAAAAAAATCACAGCGTTTGTTATCAGTTTTATTTAAGGAGCCTCTCCATTTTTAATGACTATTTATTATATTGAGAACATATTTTAATTTGATGTCTTTGCAGATGTTGGTATTAAAACAATTCAGGTCACTTTGGCATCTGCAGAATGAAATCTTTGATCCATACAGGAAATCATTTAATAATTGGTGTCAATTCATATTTTAAATATACTTAAAACCTATGATTATCAAGAATTGATGAAAACAAATTTTATACTTCATTCACTTGTATTTATTCTACCAAAGATGTTAAAATCAAAGCTGCTATGGTATACAAATAATCTTGGATTTCAATGCATTTTTAAATATGAAACTGAAATGTAAAATTGAAGGAATTTATTTTACTTCTGACAGTGAACATTAAAAATGTTTAAACCCTCCTTGATTATATTATTAGATTAGGTTTATTCTTTATTCTTTTTCAGATAGCAACTCCATCTCCTCCAGGCATATGGGTAGCTAGTACTGACATGATGCTATCTATCCCAGAGCATGCGGGTAAAATTATATCTATACATTTATGAAACAAAAATTGTTTTTCATTGAAATCACTAAAATTTTAAATATATTACACTTCTGATATAAGGTTTGATTTGGTTTGTTTTGTTTTGCAGCTTATCAACCTCAATGGGTTATTTAATGCCGACAAAATCTTTATTGCTGGTAATATTTTGTTTTGTCAAAAATCTATTTCTGGCAATAATTTTTTCCTTCAAAAATGTATTGCTGCTAATATTTTTTTCAAAAACGTATTGTTGGCAATATTTTGTTTTTTAAAAAAAATGTATTGTTGGTAATATTTTTTTTTCTTCAAAAATTTATTGCTGATAATAATTTTTTACAAAGTATTTCTGGTATTAAAACCTATTTTTACACTTTCAGAGTGTTTTTACCCCAGTTTTGGGGTTAACTATTTGCCCATAGCTTGGACCCTAACAGCTGCTACCACCTTGGGTCAGGGTGGACCTGGGAACACCAGCAAGTAAGAGGTGGTTCCACGCTCCTCAAAACCTCCTGATCAGAGGCCTTGCTGTCAGATGTAGTTTATCATCTTACCTAAGATGCAGATGTAGTTTATTGTCATACCCAGGATGCCCCATTGGGGGGTCTTACTCCTCTGCAGAGGTGCAGTTGGCATATTCTACAGCCCTAGCCAACAGGGCGATCTGATATAAGGATTTTTTCCTTAATGTGATAATTATAAATGTCTGTTTATATATTTAATTGAATCTCTATCTATAAAAAGCAGGATGTGTGTGTGTGTGTGTATGTGTAATGAATGCACGGTTGCAATTTTCGACGGATTTGCACCAAAATTTACATGCACATGCTCCAAGATAGCAGAAAGGCCAAGACCAACTTTACATTTCCCAACTCCCATCAATAGTGGAAATAATCGATTTTTTCATGCTTCTCTGGCAGTTTTCATGTAGTTTGCAGCCATTTTATACTGGCCAGAGTGAGAGCCTATAGCTGGCTGCCACAAATCGGCAGGAAGATTCTATTGGCCAGCGTGAGAGCCAACAGCTGATTGACATGAATGTTAACTAGCATGCTAGCATGCAAAAAAAAAATCAATAGCTGCATTTGTCACAAGTGGGAAAAATATGAATTTGCATAGCACTTTACTCTAATTGGCTCATTCGCTTGCTTAAACTCAACGTTGATTCTGATTCCGCAGAACTGGGTTGGGTGTGAAAAAGTATTTGTTGTTAACATCCTTTTTTCATTCGGTTTTTCCAGTTACGAGTCCTTTTTTAAAGCTGATCATTCTGTGTTCATTTTGTTTAGTTCTTTTTTCGTAAAAGATTTAATGTTTAGTATAAAGCTTAGAAAAAATTCACAGTGTGAGATAGGCAAGAAGTAAGGCATGTAGCAACATCAGCACGGCAAAGGGCACTCCTTTAAAGGCAAGGAAGGGCAAAAATATTTTAAGTCAAGTGATAGCAATTGCAGTATGAATCGTACGATTTTTGAATCAAGCACGGCAACGCAAGACCATGCTACTAGTATTAAATAATAATGTTGATTCCTTCTTTAATCACTAATTTATGCTGTACTCCAAAAATGGTTAAGTTGAAAGCCAACTGACAAGTCAACATTCTTGAATAACAGATGTGACTAATTTCAATTATTTCATCTTCAGTACATTATCAAAATGATGTTTCTGATATTGGCATATATATATATATATATATATATATATATGCATATCTGTGTGTGTCTGAAAAAGGTTGATAAGCTGTAAAAAAAGATAAAAACAAACCAATCAATCAAGAATCCTTGTCAATCTCATGTCCGTTAATGCTTGTCATACTCATTTAATGAATTTGAAGCCATATAAAAACTTACATTGTACTCATCAGAATATCTGTGGGCTCTGCCTAAGATCAAAATGTTTCTCCCTGACCTCCTGCTTGGATCCATGCACTGTAAAAAGGAAATTTCAAACTAAACACTTTATTTAATCTACAGTGGTAGATTGCTCATATTCTGCTGTCCATGTTTAGGCACAATAGCAGATTAAATCTTTGGTTTGTGAATTTGTTGATGTAATAATTGAGTTCAATGCCTGGATTAAGTAGTACAGCCTCAAACTTGGAAACAGGATGAGCAGTACTAAAAATGACAAGATAACATATTCCTAGACATGAACACTGGAACAAGAACTGCTGACTACTAAAATTCTTTCCTTTTATAAGAAAAACATGGATCAAAATCACTGTTAATTCTTACCAAGTTTGAATCTTAATGGCCTCACAAAGTACAGTCAAGTAGTCCTCTACTTTTTTTCTTTAATATTTGAAATTCTGAATTTTGAATAGTGCTTCATTGTTTTTTCACTTTTTTGAGGTCCTAATTTACAGTATTTAAGGAGAGATGGATATGTTTCATTTCATTTTGATAATGACAAATGTTAAAGAAAGAAATATTAAATGCTTGAAACAAAAAAAAAGTAACCAGAAATAAAAGAAAAAAAACATGGAAAATATATCACAGATATATTTGAATTTTTTTGTTTTAAAGAAACTAAATAATATTTTAAATTGTATTTAATGAACAAATAATAAACAGTATTTCTCTTTCAATAAAATAAAATAACTACTACAAAATTTTGAGCAGTGTATAAGTTAGCATTTCTCTCTGTTATGATAATATTCCCACACATTGTGTTACTCAAAGTGAATATGTCATTACTTTAAACAGGGGAAATAAGGGTGTTTGAATATAAAAAGTCATGTTGTGTTTTATATTGGGTTGGAACAAAAATACATAGTGTTTAAAAATGAATTTAAAAGACAAAATTTAGAGTTTTTTCAACTATATATGTACCATTCTGTTCCACTACCTTTTGCCATCTTTGAGTAAATTAGTGATAATCTTCAGGTATAATGTCAGTTGAATATAACCAGTGTAGTAGGATATTCCAGCCAAGCTGTACCTTCTTTGGATGTAAACTGATTTTTTGAGTGGTTAACAATGGCTCATTTCATTTATCCCAGGGCCTTTTTCATTCCACATTGTTGTAAATAATCCATTTTTATCATCCGTAATAGTTCTTTATGAAATGAGTGATTTTTGTTGCATTTGAGCAAAAAATCACAGATGTAAATGCATTTTATTAAATTCTTTTCCATTTAATCATAAGACACCCAAACATTGTAGCAATGAATGTAACCCAAGTGTTTTCAAGTGTCTTACAATTCTTATAAGAGATATGTAGAGTATCTTTGCAATATCCCAAATTATGTAACTTGAGTTATTTTTAATATTCATTTTAATTTTGTCAACATCAATGATTGCAGGTCTGATGTAACATTCTTGTTCTTCCAGATCAAAATTTTCACTTCTGAACCTTGCAAACCACTTACAGTACTCTCAGCTATGGCACCATCTCCATAAATGGCACATATCTTTTGTTTTTCTTTCCAGAAACAAAAGGAGCATGAAATGATGAAAATAAATAAATATCATTTTCTTTCATTTTCACTTTTAATATAAAAACATTTAAAATTCCCAATCCATACACAAATAATAACAAGATGTGTTGAAATGTCACCTCTAAAAATATGTATATGTCATAAATTTCAATCATGTATGAAATGAAATCAAATGTTCAAATGCTGTCACCTATTGCAAAACACTACAAATTTTTGTTCCAATCTAATAAAATATATATTAATTAAAATCTCTGTAAAAACAGAGAAACTTCTTCTATTCAGGCCTTTAAGTTTTATTTAGAAATGAAGAAAATTCTTATAGATAGAAATAATTAGATTTTTCACATTTAATTCTAGTTATCAGATGGCCAAGCACAAAAGCAGATGTCTATGTTGTTACTGTTCCTAGCAGTGAAAACTACTGTAAAGAACATGGAGTTTTTAAAACTGATCAACAGGTGATGTCTATCTCTTTCTATTATTTTAGACCAGCAGTTTTTTTGTTACAGTTATCAAGTGGTAGGCTATTAAAGATTTTGATATGCTGTTTGGACTGTACACATTAAAATTCATGATATTTTCCATAAACAGTTGTGTGTGAAACAAAGTGTAGTAAATAACCACAATCATATTTTTCTACTTTTAAATATATAATTTGCTCTTTTTGGTGAGAGCATTACTATTTAATTCTATGAAATGACAAATATGTTGTATCCTTGTAACTGGGTCTAGAGCAGGCATGCCCAAAGTCCAGCCCTGGGGGTGGGGACAATTATGGCCCACAGTCAAATTTCATATGCTCCCCTCCTCTGTCATAGAATTTATCACTTACAGCCTGCCAGTAATGTCAATCAGAGTATGTAAAGTACACACCTAAGAAATGCAATTTCATGTTTTACCAAAAGATGGCAGCAGCACTATGTGGGTGCCCTCTGGTGGTGTAACCCTGACCTTGGCCTTTTCTAGCCAATTTCTAAAATCACTGCCTTTGAACCAGACCTGGACTACATGTTATGTTCCTATTCATGTTTTTAACTTAAAAGTTGACAGACAACATTAATTACCAATAACAGGTAATGTTTAAGATTAACCTGAGTTATAGCTTCCTGGAAATTTTTTTTTCTCAGATATATTTTACTTCAGATATGACAGGCTGAGTGATTTTGGTAAGACCTGTTTAAATTTATTTGCTATCCCTGTGAAGAAATAAAAATATGCCATTTGCCATAAAATTTTCATAAGATAGTTCATTTGCATTTAATTTTAATGGTTCAAAGAATGCCAAGCAGAATGGTTGGCCCTCACCTCACACATATTCACCTTATCATATCTGGTCCTCTTGCTTGGACACCCCTGGTCTAGAGTTTTCAATATATTTATGTTAACTGAAATTCCAAATTACAAAAGCAGTAAATAATTGGTTACAAGTTTTCATCTAAGTTTTTATTTATATTGTTTTATGTATCTTTTAACAAAAGAAATAAATAGCAAAATTTGATCAAAATGTAGATTACATGATGCAGACAATATACCTTTTACTTCTAGCATGAATCAAGAGAAGTTGGTACTTATTAATTATGAAGTCTTATTTGAAGTCAGATTTCAGTTTACCTGAAAAGAAACAAAATAGTTATTGATAAGAAGAGTTGGAATTAATGCATGCAAGATTTCACAGCTCTGGCATCATTCCTTCATAATCAGCCTTTTTCAGCCCACCCTTGTAAACAAAAGTAAAAGCATAAAAATTAATATAGTTTGTTTTTATCCAAAACTTTGAGATTGCTTATTACTGAGAGACAATATTTCTTTTTTCCTTCACAATTTTCAGTAATTCCTTTCTATAGCCAACTTCAAGTGATTGTCATAATGTTTGGCTGATAATCAAGTTTAGTGTTATAACATTTTTTTCTATCCAGATTATTGATTGCTTGTTTCTGTTGGCTACTGCGTCCATGTATAATTAGTTAGTTTTGTATGTGCAGAGATTTTTAGTGGGCTTTTATATCTACAAATGTAACTTTGAGTGTAATTGTTATCTTCATCTTTCTTTTTTTTGCACAAAAGCCTGATACAATTCTATATTTTCCTACAGCATGAGATGTCACAGACATTGGTAAATGTGCTCATTGTGAGGAATAATAAGTGTTTCTTGGATTAACTATAAATTAAGCCATGGTTGGGGGACTTGCCCTATTATATCTATAAGTGGAGCCTTGGCAGTTAACAGTGTTGAAATAGGTATTGTGTACAAGTTAGTTATCAAAAAGATCACTGAACTACATATAACTACACTGAACAATATATATGTATCTGTGGCAGACTATACAAGGGATTAACGAAAATTGAGATGGCTGTGCTGAACAATAGCAAAATCAAAATTAATAATGGTAAAAATGTCTTTGAATATTAAAAATCTCTGTTAATAATTTGTAGTAACTTTCTTTTTTCAAATTTCATTTTTCAGGGTTATATAGAAGATATAAAATATCAACCAGACAATGCAAGTCTCTTATCCTGCATACAGCCATCTGGAGATTTTCTCATTGTAACTATCATTTTTAGAAATTATTTTACTTGTTTAGTCATCTTAATATTTTTAAGTATTTTAATTATAAAATTAATGATTTAGTATGATTTTATAATTAAACATTTTAATTTTTACTTTACTTATTATGATACCAAAGGAGAAACCGAATCTTACCTCAAAAAATATTTGTGTTCACTGTGCTATCTGTTGAAAAAGAAAATCTGAATTCAGATCAGGTTGACTTTAGTAGGCCTCAAAATGTGGTAATTGCTTGCACTTCCTTAGCAGTGTCGATCAATCACAAAACCTTTCATACTGCAATAAAAGAATTCTACTTTGGACCATGATGGCTTGGATTTTCATGAGTGATGTAGGTCCTTGTGAGTTATTATGTTGGATTTTTACCTTTTTAATTTACAACCTTGGCATTTTCTGACATTGGACTTGTGAGATTGATTTATGATCCTTTGAATTACGACATCGGATTTATGATTTTTTTGATTTGAATCAAAGTGCTATTTACCTCACTCAACATTTTAATTTTTTACTTACAAGTTAATGTTTTTCAGTTCTTTTTTCCAAACACATGAATATTAAAATACATAAAATATTAAAAAATATATTATTTTTATTTCCTTGATAAAACATCATCAATTAGATAATTAAAGTCTTTCATGTTCTTAAATCTATTCATCCAATTTATTTTCCAGCTTTTCTCAGGCATATAAGACATCAAGAAAAAGTTTCTAATGAATTTTTTCTTCCTCTTATGTATTTTACACATGAAGAAGGCTGAAGAATGTCCAAAATGTAAATATCAAAAACAAAAGGAATTACTTTATCAGAACAAACAACCCATAGAGCCTTTTCATATATGGCTTAAACATTTGTATAGTCAAAAAGAAATTATTTCACCTCATTTTTTTACTTTTATATAATTTTGTTAATATTGAAGAAGCAGAAACATATTTTTAAGAATATTTTTTTTCCTAAGTAGTTCTAACTTCTTTTCCTTTTCCCTTTTCAGGTTTGTGGCATAGTGTATTTTAATAAAATAGTTGCTGAAAAACTGCTTTCATTTCACGTCAAGCCTCCTCTTGATAGTTGTACTTATATTGGCTTGGACAGTGGACAGAAAATAAAAGAGGTAAACATTAATTTTTAAAAACTATAAAATGTAGCAGATTTCTAAATGACATTTTTATTTCTTGCATGAGTAATTAAATATTTGGTATTTCTATTATCAAGTCTTAAATTACTATTATGTTTATTTTTCAAGTTGTTTCAAATTTTATATAAAAACCATATTTAAATGATTCAAGACAGAAATTTTAATTTCAGTTTTAATGCATAAACTCCTTTAAGTGTTTCTCATTTAGGTGGGGATTCTAAAAAGTTCATGGCTAATCAAGCAGAACTATAAAATGTACATGTTTTTTTAATCCTTCTAAAAAATCTGAAGTGATTTTAGGATGTGGGCAAGTCTGAGAACTTTTCAGTGATCACTTATAAAATATAATAATCATAATTAAGTAAAATACCATGTCTGACAAATTAAAATCTTACTCCAATTCTAAAACACAGCAAAATCACTCAATTTTATCAAATGTGTAGATATATTGTGCTTGTGAATGTAAGCATAAGGAATCAGCCAAAAATCGAGATTCATCTAAAAAATCATTGCAATAAATTAAGAAATATTTAGAATCTATTTAAAAATTTATTAAAACATTTAAAATAAATCAATTCTTCATCTGTAAGGAACTAATTCAAATTGTTTAAGAAAAGCTATTGTACTTTAATGGCAGAAAATATTGAGCTATTTTTACTAAAACATTTACTTTAAGATTTAATGTACAAGCTGAAATTAAAACAGTCATTAAATTAAAACAATAACAATTTGGAGTGATCCTCATTATAAAAATAAAATTAACTATGAAGAGCTAAATAAATCAATGTTAAAAAAAACACGTAATAATAATCTAATTTTACACATATTAGAACTAAAATGAAATCTAGTATAAGTTGTGGCTTGTGTTAATATTTGAGAATTTCTCAGATAAAAGAAACTTGTTTCTGAGTTTTCTGAGTATGCAAAAGGCAGTCAGGTTGTTCCACTAAGAATAACAAGTAACTAAATAAATTCTAAATATCATTCTTTTCATTTCTTTGAAATTTTATAAATATTATATTCATATATTAAAACTGAAATCTAATTTGAAATTAATTTTCAATTACTCAATAATACATCTTTAAAATTGTTTTAGTTGATTATAAAAATGGTTTTATATTTGCAGTTGTCACTTTTCTTTGATGTGCTACTCCCAATGGCCACTGGTGTGACTGAAGATGATTTTAATTCAAAAAATTCAGAAACGCTCACAAAAGAAATCAGGCAGATTTTGTGGGATGAACTTCATGATTTCAAAATATGTCCTTGTATGTATTCTTATAGTTTCTTCTATTAAATACACTATGAAAAATAATGTATACATTTCAAATAATTAAATATTAACGAATGAGAAATAAATTTTGCATATCATGAAATGTTTTATAAGCACAAATTTGTTTATTTTTAATTTTGTTTCAGTAAGAAGAATTTTATCTTTCAGTTCTATAAACCAAAATTTAACTTAAAGAGATGCTTCAGTTTAGTTTCACTATTTTAAGTGTAAATATGATACCTTGAGCATATTATCTTGGATGTTTTAAATTATTTTTAGATGATGTATTGTCAACCATGATTATTTGAGTATTATTTTTTCCATCTTCAGTTGCTTTCTACCTCATTTACTCAAGCCACCATTAAAAAGTGGAAATACAAAATAAACTTATGATGAATCTTATTCTTTATTTCTGATCCATGTGGCCATAGAATGATAGCCTGAGTAGTTGCAATAGAAAACAACTGAAATTAAGTTCAATCAAAAATGAATAATGGTTATATTTGTAAATTTCTTATATCAAATAAAATCACTTGTTTACAACACAAAACATTGCAGATTCTTTTTTTATTTCATTGTAGATATAATTGAGGCAGGCCAATACAATTACTTGGCTACTTCTTCTACTGAATTTCTCTCTCAGATTATTCACTGTCCACTTAAAATGAATGCATCCAAGTCACTTGTCTGGAATCCAATTACACATTCTTCATTAGGTGTAAGTTTTCTTTTTGGAAGATTAAGCAGATATTTAATATTATCCTAATTATTTATTATTATTCATTTCAATATTTTGTTTGCTCCTCAGCTATAAAGATCATTCAAACTTTATGTGGCAATTTGGAAGATAAGCAGATATGAAACAAAAAAAGAAGATAAATAATGTCAACCTAATTCAAAGGATTTGAATAACATAATAATTACTTATCATTTGTAATCATTATCAGCTGAAATTGTAGCAAAAAGTATGACTGATTTTTAAAGTACCGCATAAACTATTTTGTAGTACAATTTCTTCTTAATCTAAACTTTTGAGATAAAATATTTTCATTGTTTCACATTTTTCTAATTAGTATCTTGATTGTTTTATTACTCTTTATTCTTTTTTTAGCTGATAAATTATTCAGCCTTCACAACTTTCAACAAGAAAAGTAACTGTGAAGAAAAATTGAACTTGTATTATTTAACATGTACCAATGGTCTAAACTAGCAAAGCTACTGAATGTCGTTTCTATTTTTAGTTTTACCTGTTTTGACATTTTTTATGGATCTAGGTTGTGGGAACTGTTATTTTTTATGTATATTTTCTTTATTACAGGACACTGTAGATATAGTAGAAAGCAGTGTGGTTATTAATAGCATTCTTCAAGGTCAAGTGACAATTGGACCTGGCTCTGTTGTGACCAATTGTTATATGAACGGGCACATCCAGGTTGGAAAGGAGTCCATTTGTAGTGGACTTAAAATGGAACTTAATGTAAATAAAACTTTTATATTATTTTGTTTTTCTTCCAGTAAAGTTGGATTTTTTCTCATAAAAAAATAGAAGAAAGACATTATTAACAGTTTGAATTTGAATGTGTCTCACTGACCTATTTTCCATGCTGTTAAACATTAAGCCACCTACAGCTCCAAATTTAATGTACTTAATTATATATGTAAAACATAAATGTTTGTTTTACTCATCGCTGACTATTGGTTCAGTATTCTTGGTTTCTTTCCCTATCATTTATCATTCAAACATTTTTAAAAACATTTGCCAATAATACTATTCTTTCATCCTCTTCTCATTCATTGATTGTAGTAACATAACATTTTTTTAATGGATGAGGATGTATTTTCAAATTTTAGGGAAAGCATTTTGAGTCATAACGTTATTTTGTTTACTTTTTCTTTTCTTTTTTTATTATTGGTGCAGTAGTGAATTTCTTCCTTTATTATTTATCTCTCAAATATTTATTTTTAGTAACAATAATAAAAAAATGTTCTTATATATTTAATGTTAATTTTATACTTTTATTCTTTTCTTATTTATTAATTCATTTCTATAATTGTCATTAAAGTAATAATAATTCAAAGTGATATATTTGTTAATGAACTGTTCACTCCACCATATAAAATATATATGGTTGTTCACTCCACCATATAAAATATATATGGTTGTTCATTGTCACGATAGAGGGCTTGCATGTCCCAGTGATCCCAGGTGCAAAGCTATCTTAAACTCCAACTCTTGTAGGGCCAAACATGGCAGTAAGGTCAAGGAAGAGGTACCAGACTGAATGTGACCAACCCCCAAAGACCCCAACAGAAAAATAGGCAAAGATTGACACAATCTCAATGGCCAAACAGAAGAGTGCTATTCGGACCTTGACAAACCAAGCATCCAACAGCCTGATGCAACTAGGTTTGTCATATCTCACCTGTCTCAGTCCTCTTTGAGCCATGTGTGAGCTTCTCTATCACACAGAGTTGTCCACCAAAATCAAATTCACTTGAATAACTTCATCAAACTCTCTTCAATTCATAGCCATCACCGCCACCACCACGAGTGAGAAAGATAATAGAGAGGATGACAATGCCAATAATTGGATACAGATGACAACATCAGTTAACAGCCTGATTCATTCTGTAAAATTATGTACAATGAAATATAAGCTCACAAATTCATGATAATGTACAACATAGAGCTTTTAGTAATTTGGATATTTTAAAGTTTGTATATTTAAGTTTTAAACCTAGATATATAAAATTTCAATTTTTTATGAAGTTGGTAAAAACATAAAAATCTCAAATGAAATTTTATCTCACATTGAATATCATTGATTAAAAAGACACGTTTTCCCTCCTCGCTCTTTAAAATATAATTACATAAATTATCAAAAATTAATATTGTAAATTTAACATTTATTTACATTTACATTTTTTTCATTAGAACTGTTTTTCAGCATACTGACATTGCATCTAAAATGTTATCTTCCAAATTCATGGATATTTATTGTTAAAGTCAAATAATCAATGAATAATTAGTTAAAGTTTAAATCAATAAATAATTAGTATGGGTTTCATGATGAAAGTCAAAATTTGTTAAAATAATAAATAAAAGTTAATCAAGAATTCATAAATTTTTCAAAATTATGAACGTTTTTTTTTTTTAAATTTAGTGAACAATTTAAAATATTTCAATGATCTCTTTATGTATAGAATAGTTGATACAAGTTCTTTTGGTTAGGGTACAAATCAGTTGTTTATAAATTAATTATATTAAAAATCTAATTCTTATATAATGTTAATCTTTATGAATTTTTTTTCAGAAGAAGACAGTTAAGTTTGCTGACTCAATTGTAATCCAGGGATTCAATATTCATTTAAAAACTTTGCAAACTAGCAAATATGTGTTAACAATCCATGGGATTCTGGATCAACTTATGGTAAAGTACTTAATTACTTCATTTCATACAAAGTGCCTTTTTATATAATGATACCACTGCTTAATTTAGACTTTTATTTCATATTCACCAGTGTTAGGATGATTTTCTATATAACCTTTTATAAGAATTAATTTTCTATATAACCTTTTATAAGAATTAATTTTCACTAATTGTAAATAACTACCCAAATGTGTATATGTTTGTTTTAATATATTTTTTACAGGTTGCAAATACTTGCACAATAATACAATACATAGCAACTTGGGGAGGATTGATATATTTGTAATAAATCATTGATAAGAATAATGAACAAAGATAACACTTGTTTCACTCTCGTAGCTTAATTACAAAACAAACACTCATCTAAGGAGAGATACACAAAGACAGGTTTCATGTTCTACTAGATATTATCTTTTCTTATTCAATACTTTAATCATTAAATAAATAATTTTCTTCTTAAAAAGTACTTCATCAAACAAACAAAAATTATAACTTTTATTATTTTAATAAAAATGCTTAAGAAATCACTATTACTGTAGTAATGATTTTAATAAAGGAAAAATTACTTTCTTTTGCAAAATTAAAACTGCTAAGTTGTTTATCAAATTACATCATTATTTTTAATCTTTAATAACAATTGTTATCATCATCACAATTTTATATATATATATATATATATATATATATATATATATATAATATAATAATAATACTTATAAATATAAATTCAATCTCCTCCCAAACCTTAACCATTTCATATTAAATACAAAAAAGCCTCATAAAACATTCCAAAATAGAAAAGTGGCTTCTTCTGACAAACCCAATGAAAAAAAATTGAAATTATTTCTACCCACTTATTCTATCACAACTACAATTGAAAAGAATATATCTGAAATCAATATAAAATTTGTCACAATTATGTCTAAAACAATAAAAGACTTAATCAATACAAAACAAAACAATAAGCTAAAAGTAAAAGGAGGAATTTTCTCTATTACCTGTAATGATAGCCACAAAGAATAAATCAGAGAAACATCAATAAATTTAAATAAAAGATTATATGAACACAAAATGGATATTTTACAAAACAACACATTAAACACATTAGTTGCTCACTATAATGAGACTGACCACAATTTTGCTAAAAAATATACTCTTTTAATTAAAAGTGAAAGCAATTCACTAAGACAAAAATGTTTAGAAAATGCTTTAATCACTAGATCATCCACAGTAAATTTGCATCCGGGTTCTTAATATTTCACAATTCTTTTATCACAATGTGGGATATTTAATAACAAAAGTGATGGAAACAAAAAGAGAAGGAATCTAAATGAAATTGGCTAAATTATAAATCCAAAACAGATATATAAAAAAAATATATTTTTAAAATTAAAATTCCCAGTGACTCTTGTTTATGCTCATGAATAGTTGCATCAAACATACTCCAATGAAGTCCTAAAGGACAAAACCTGTCACACAAAAACATTTCCACTTTGTCATGCATCTTTCTCCCCATATCTGTCTATCTATCTATCTATCTATCTATATATATATATATATATATGATAAACTTGAATTTTATTTATCTTTTCATATGATAAAAAATATTTTATTTATCTTTTCATATGATAAAAAACATTAAATTACTGCATAAATTCTGTTCTTGTCTTTTTCCAGGTTCCACTAACAAATGAAGACACTACATTTTGCAACCAGAAATGGAAAATATTCCTCCAAAATACTGGCATCAGCGAACAAGATCTTTGCTATGCAAATGAAGTATTTTCAATTTAATCTTCATTTAACAATATAAAATTCTTTAATAATGAACAAAGTTCAAACTATTTCAGATCACCTCTTACATTTTGCTTGATTGTTCAGTGTAAAAATATTGATTTCTTTTTTTGTTAAACTTGACATTTTTATCAATTTTTGCAAAAACAAATTTTTAATTGACATTTTATTTTTAAATGACATACTTTTTCTCAATTATTCAGTAATGGTTTCATTCAATTAATTTTATTTTATTTATTTAAACAAATGATAGACTTACCTGCAAGGAGAAGGTTAACCAATCCTTGATGATGATAGTTCTTTCCCAACTCCAATTCTAATTAGCAGCAGGAGGCTTTTCACATTTTTCTATTAAAATGAATTCAAACATGGAACTCAATATAAACTTTTTCAATTTCTCTATCTGCATTTCTTTAACTGATTAACTTATTTTAATTTTTGTCACTTTCACTCACTTTTGGCCCAGTTAACATGTTTTTCTCCCAGAATTTAAATCATTAGTTGAGACCCATACTCACACATTTTTTTCATCCTTTATTCACTGTAAATAATTTTCATTTCATAATTTTCATTTTTCTTTTTTTTTCTTTTTTTTTTTTTAAACTGTTAATAAAAAACATTGTATTTTTATTTTCCTCCCTACTTGAATTGTAAATATTGGGTATTAATAAGAATCTCAGTGAGAACATGTGTTGTTTTGGTGATTGTTGTATGAAAATATTCCTACAAATGGGTTGTTAAGGTGAAAGGAACATTGAAGTTTAATTGGGTCAGTAAATGTGATTAACTAAGTTAAAGTTAGGTTAGTGAAGACAAGCATCTCCTTCCCTCGTCTTTGGACTTGTGCCACATTTACTGTTTTTTACAGTAGTAGATATTAGTTTACTTAAATACCTGGAGTTCCCATGTCAGATTGAACATTTTTGTTCAGGCTTCTTATAAATTGTTTACAAAATTCTGCCATAACACAAGTGTATTACAAGTGCGACAACAAGTTCATATCATCATCTTGCGGCCTCAGCCGAGATTGAACTCACCAATACTTTGATTGGTGTAGTTCATAATCTTGTCAATAGCTGAATTCTTGATGCTTCACGAGGGCTATCAAGGATGTTTTTATCGTGACACCATCACTAAATGGATTGCCAACCAAGGCTCAGAGAGACTCCATTCACCCTCAAGTTCATATAAAGTGTGACAAGTTCAACTTTTATAACTCTTCCTGTTTTGTAATCTGAAATTTAATACTTCTTCAATCCAAGTTGAACCTTAGCAGCCTTTCATGTTACATATTTGGATGAGAGTAAATTGAACCTTAATAGCATCTCATGTCTTGTATTTAGATGAACAAAAGTTGAAACAATAACTTTTCATGCTTCGCACTACCTCTTCATGTTCTATATGAAAATGAGTAAAGGTTGAATCTTGATATCGTTTCATGTTTTATACTTAGATGCATAGAAGTTGAACATTAATAGCCCGTCATTTGGTGAGGGAAGTGATTACAACTTGTACCTTAATAGCTCTTCATGTTTTATATTTTATTTTTGTAAATTTAACTTTAATAGGTTCTTATGTTTTTTAATCGGATGAATATAAGTTGAGCCATAATAACTGTTTATGTTTTTTACTTGAATGAAAGTTGAACGTTAACAGTGGAACACTTTAAGGAATAGAAATTCTGTTAAATCAAAATTTTTGGTTTTTAGAAATTTCAAGTGATGTTTTCATTTTAGATATCTAGGTAACATTTAATTACTGATGAATATTTGATATCATTGATATCATAATAGTAAAATCATTTAGAGAACTTGCAGATTACTTCTATTAGAGCTATTTAAAATCATTAAAAAGCCCAAAATCTTAGGAAATGCATTCCATTTGAATAACTTTAGGAACAAAAAATAAATATCTGAAACCTGCATTAATCTTGTTCAGTAGTTTAAAAGTTTGTGATGTTTCTTATTGTCATCAAAAGTAAGGATACAATGAATTTTGTCTTATTGAAAAATGTTAGCACAAGTGAAAATATTTATCAAAATTACATTATGAAGGTTATGTTGAGCATCTGACAGAATATACCATAGTGTCCTTCAAAGAGGTCAAACAATTTCCCAAAATTCTCAACCTGACTCACTTCCCACAATCTGACCAATTGATCAAGCACAAGAATTTGTTTTGGAATTCCTTCTTGACCAGGATGAGAAATTTTCAGCACACTGATGCACAGATCAGCTTAAAATAGTTAATTTAAATTGTAACCAAACAGCATCTAACTGATGTTACCTTGACCCAAGTGGTCAAATTGAAACAACTTTGCCCTATTACAGGGAGGAGTAAAGGTTACTGTTGGTGTGGTGGGAGAAAAAATGCAACATATGTAAATGAAACCTGATGAAAGATCCTTTTGACTAAATGTATTATGTTGTTATTTGCCCACAAGTATTTTAAGTATTAACACAATACAGTGTCAGAAGTAAACCAGTGAGTAAACTTTAACACTGACAAGACAAGTTTTTAAGTTAAACAGAAAAAAGGGGCAAGATGAACAAATCCAATATTGCTGCTCCAACATGTGTATCATTCACAATAAAGACACCAGAATCCTTTGATTTTAAAAAATCTTTGGAATTGGAAAAATGGATTTGACACTTTGAAAGATTCTGTCAAGCCAGTCAGGTAAATACACTAATTTATTGTATGGGAGATGAAACTAACAATATACTAAAAAACTTAAATTTGTTTGAGGTGTGGGCAGGGGGTGAATGATTATGATGATGTTAAAGAGAGATTACACTCATTTTTTGGTTGATAAGAAAAACATAATATATAAACAAGCCGTCTTTAACAGGCATCAACATGGATCTAATGAGTCCATAGATTCTTTCATCACTGATCTGTATATGGTAGCTGAACAGTGTAACTATTGGAATTAATCTGAGACCATCTTGTAGTTGGACTTTCAAAGTCACATCTATCAGAAAGAATGCAGCTGGAAGGAAATTCTTACTTGAGAAGGCTTGATACTGTCAGACAGCAACAGTGCATCTTGAGGGAAGACAGTCACATACAAAGTTCAAACACAAAAAACACATCGGCAAGAAAAAGAACAAAAACTAGTTTAAGTGTCACAAATGTGGTAGCAAAATTCAACACAATGTCCAACTAGAGGCGTGAGATGTCATGCATGTTGAAAGAAAGGGGACTACAAGAAATGTGTATTTCAACTGCTGTCCATGAAATAAAAAATGTCAGCAATATTTTCTTGAGATCTATATCAACAGGCAGACTCATGGGGAGTTGACCTTAAGTGAATGGCAAAAAAGTTAATTTTAAAATACACACAGGCACAAACGTGACTGTCATACCTAACCACATATTCAACCAGTTTTACAATAGTGATACCTCTAAAATTAAAGAGATAAAAAAAGGCAACAAAAATAATAATATTGATAGTATATTTTTGAACACACCTGTGTCCTTTCTTAACAAGAAATAAAAAATGAAGTCGGACGTGGGGGAATTTTTTTTTTTCGCATGTTATATTACTGATGAAATCTAGTAGTTTTGGGCAAGTTTTTGTGATGATTAGGATTGTAGAGGATTTGTAGGCGACTTTTTGTGGAAACTATTCATTAAGTATGCTTAAATTCATGTTTAAACATAGAATTTCTTTACTATTATATAAAAAGTGGTTGCATTAAAAATCAGAACTAAAAATACTGAAACTGAACTGCATTGAAAAAACAACATCTGTAATACATACTTACATACTGAATAAGTACAGATATGCTGATGCTAATGAGAATAGAATGTCTGATGTAGAATATACACAATTTACCTTTAGGCACCAACTACCGATATATATATATATATATATATATATATGTTATTTTTTTTAATGGATACCTGTATTTGAGTAGACACCATTTTATTTTAAACAGTATTTTGTCTGGTGGTTATTTAATTCTTGTTTGTTTTTGATTTTGTCTACTGTACAATATAATAGGTTCAATTGGGCACTGTCTGAAAAAAGAGCACCATGCTGCAATTCACTCTGCTAGAAATTTGGGAATGGCATGCTGTACTGCTTGGCAGTCATGCTGAAAGCTCTAATATGAATATTTCAGAGTGTCTGAGTATCAATCTGAAGACAATGCTGAAGATTCGGAAAGAGTTGGATGAGTCTAATAGTGGTTATGAAGGTACATCAGCTGAGAAAACTCACTCAGTTCTGATAAGAAAAGCTCCCAAATTTGTTGGTAATGGCCTCATACTCAACACGGATGCCTACATCAAGTGCCTTGAGGAGATAGAGCTGCCCTGGGTCAAGAGGGTGGCTGCTGGAAGAACCTATGTCTGTCAACAGGACTCTGCACCATGCCATACAAGCAGGAGAACCCATCATCACCCCTTACATCTGGGCATATAACTCCTCAGACTTGCAACCAACTTGTATGGGGGTGCATTTGAGTGAGAGACCAAGAAAGCTCCTTGTAACATCAATAATGAAACTGAAGGCAAGGATTATGGCAGCAGTCACCTACTTAAACAAGGAGACCGTCCAGAAGAATTGCAGAAGATTCTGAAGTTGTCTGGAGGCCGTGGTTGAAGCCAATTGCAATTTTATTAAATACATTTACTCTTCAGTAATTCAAGATATTTTTGATAAATATATCTGTTAAAATGAGATGTCAGTGTTATTTTCATTTTTGCATAATTTAGACGACAATTTATCCATCGCTCTCGCTCTCTCTCTCTCTCTCTCTCTGTGTATATTTAATAATCAAACAAATCCTTTTACCTCATAGGGGGAATAGGCTATTTCAGCAGTCAACGAAAGTGTTCGGCAGTCTTTTCAACACCGGAGTGGAATGAAGTTCAAGCCTTTAAAGTCAGAGGAAGCAGGAAGTAGTAGTTTTACCCCATAGGAGGTAAAAGGATAATTATATTCCTCTGTATAAATAAAATACATCAAGCTCTTTTTTGTGGATCAGTTCTAATATTTTTATATTACTAGGATCCACTTGGCTTATATACCAATGGGATTTTTTCTTACTATATATATATATATATATATATATATATATATATATTGTCAATTTAGCTAAATACCAATTTCATTAACCATATAGGCGTTAGGCTAAAGTAAAATCTTAAATAAAAAGTAAATTAGTTAGATATAAAAGAAAAATAAATAAATTAATAAATAAAAATAGAAATTTAATCCAATGTTTAAGACTTTATGAAAATATATATTCTATGATCAGCCATACACTTTTCTTTTTCACAAATTCATTCTCTCCTTATCCTCTCTTCCACCCACAAGTTAAGGGCCTGTGAACTTCAAGTGACCCGACGCGAAAATGACCTGGTTCCAAGATTTTTTCAGCTATCAGGCATGACCATAAGTAATTCCAGGCACCATCAGGGTTCCTGCTGCGATTCACGTGATAATCTAAACGTTTTGAGCATGTGTTGAACTTTTTATCATCACACAAGCACTGCGTGATTTGCCCCATCCTCCTCCTGCGTAATTATGTCAAGGACGAAGGGAACCCACGTGACTGTCTTTGGGGACAACCAGATAAAACCAAAAAGGATTTTTCAGTTTTCCTCTGACCAGCGGCAGTTGAAGGTCGCTGGGAAAAAATCGCCAGACCGCCCACTGAGGTGAAGAAGACAGCAAAGTCTGTCGACTAAAAAACATTCACAAAGGACTGCTAATGGAACTGATCGACCCAACCAAATGCCTGTATGAAATGCTATGGACCCTCGAACACTTGTGAAAAAGAAGAGAATCCAGGAACATTGTCGGCTAATAAGATATTGTTTTATCATTAGAACTCTCGCTCGGCGAATCAAAACTTTACGTGAAGATATCAACCCGACTGCAAGATAAGTTGATTCTCTTGGCTTGATCTGTTTTCATATATGTATGTATTTGCTTTAAGTTGTATTCTTTAATGATCTCCTTCCCCTTTGTTAAATGAATGTTTTTTTTTCTTTTCTTTATTTCTTTATATATTTTATAAATAAATGTTATATTTTGAAATCCATCGTCTTGTGTCTGTTCTTCGTTGATTCCCTTGTGCCTTCCATTTCTGAGTGAAGACCGAGAAAAAATTTCCCAAATTTTCCTTTTTTTAAAAAACCCGTGGTTCATCTATATGCTACAAGTTCATAAATATATATATATATATATATATATATATATATATATATATATATATATATATATATATATAAAAAAAAATTTAAAGACATATATATATATATATATATATATATGAAATATAATATTCCTGAATTCAAACTGTCATTGTAAAAAAAAAAAAAAAATAAAATTAAGTTTGAATGATTAATCTCAGACTGTTTTATTCCTATTATTTTTTTCAGAAACTTTCGCAGAAAACACTTATGGACACTAAACTATTTCCTGTTTTTCACCCAACTGAAAATATTAGCATGAAAGAGATGCTTTGGCTTCAGGGTCAACTAAAAGATGATACTGGATACCTTTTGAAAAGGTTATTACTATCTCACTTTTGTCAAAATTAAATTTATTTTGCACAAATCTAGATTGTTATCAAGTAAAATGTGTCCTTTCTCATGACAAAGCTAAAATAATAACTGCAGTGATGTATCCATGACCATAAACTATATGACACAATGCACAAATGCATCAAATGAAATTGGCTGGGAAAATTCTTTTCAGAAAACAAATTCATTTAACAAATTAATCCTATATTAATGATGAATTGTCATTTATATTTTTCATTTTTCTTTACAGATGGAGAGAATCATGGCGGTTATCATTGTCAGAAATTCTAAAATTAGTTGATTTTAATAAAGAATTTTCTGTCAGAAGGTAAAATTTCTTTCTTCTCAAATTGTTCATATTCCTTCAGATTCTTATACAAAGTAAGTAAACAGATTTTAGAAAACTGGAAAATGCTTATCAATATTATTTATCATTCACGGTCACAAGACCCATAAACCATAATGTTGTAGATGCAACACGTATACTGCAGCCATGGTATGACTTGGGTAAGATAGCCTGGTGGCGCCAAACCCTCTCCAGGCTGGTTTGAATCCAAGAATATAGGGCCCAGCTATTTACCCATAGCTGGGAGAAAAGAGATAGGTTCATACCCTTCCCAAGCGTATTTACACTGAAGTGAATGTAACAAGTCTGATTGGAATTTGAACTTGCCTCTCTGATTTCTCATTTTGCTATTCATTACACATGCACATCTACTATAACTATTTAAATATATTATTTTTTGCTTTTTGTTCGTATGGATATTTTTAAAAATATAAATATGACAAAACTTGTTCTATGACAAATTTATGTGCTTTATATTCATTACAAATTAATCTAATATCTACTTTATTTGCAATATTTTTCCATTTTTACATTCATTGTAACAAATATATTTGCTGTACATATTATTTTTAAAACCATCATACTCAATAAAATGTGATGCTTATTTTGTAAAACCCTTCTAAGTTTGTATATTATCTATATTTTATCCAATATTCTTGAATATTGTTATAAAATATTACTTTTTGGAATTAGTAATAACTAAAGATCTTTTTTACTTAAATTTTCAAAGTATGCTGCATGTACATGTTATTTTCTCATGTTTGAAAGGGTAATGATGACCCTAATTATCTCTTCATCTAGATAAATCCAATACTGCTATTGTACACCAAGCCCTTATTTTTTTATTAGCAATTGAACACTGACTTATTGAATGGGTGGCCATTTTTTTCTTGATTACATTTAGTTCACTCTTTGTTAATGATAGCCAAAATATTCATGGTACTTCAAAATTATGAGTTACTAGCAGTAGAGCCCGGCGTTGCCCGGGGATGTAACAGTAAGAGATAGATCAAGTATCGACCATCATAAAGACTGAAAAATAAAATTGACAAAGATTATTGTTTAAGGTTGATGGACACGCATGTCTTAATTAGTTTTTTTTTTTTTTTTTTTTACGAATTGGTCAAACCCAAATTCAAACAAAAACATTGTTTACAATCATTATGAGTCTATCAATTGGTGAATAGAATTTTATTATAAACAATTGTCTTGTAAATGGAATTTTTAAAGCATTCTGAATGTAAAAATAAAGAAAAAAGTGTGCAAGACAATAAGAAACACTACCTGCCAAAAAAAAAGTGGATGTTTGTTTTATCGGCTGAAAAATGTAAGAAATCCGATCCCATATATAAAGGAACACACACACACACACAACCTGGGTTTTTAACCTAAGTCACTCCACGGAATCGCTAAAAACATAGAGCATAGTCTGATGAAAAAACGCCAAAGTTTATGAAAACAAAATTTTATCGTCAAAATGCTTATGTTTTTATGAAGAGGATAGACTAAATTTTTTTTTAATTATTTTTTTAAAATTTTTCCATCTTTTTAGAATATTCTAAATTTTGATTTAAAAAAACCTTGTTTCTCTTTGTCGCAACAAGGGGTAGTAAATAACATAGATAATTTTTAGCGCATTTTTTTGTATTTACACACATTAATTTGGAAAATCTTGCAAAAATAAAAATAATTGTCAGATGTTAATGAAACTTTCAGAAACTATTCACAGATGATCGAAATTATTATAAATATTTTTTTTTTATTAAAGTCATGGCAGAAATATTTTTTTTTATATTTATTAACACCCCCATAACTAATTTTATGAAAAACTCTAGAAATTCGAGACCATCGGTTTTAGTGATTACAATAGTTAAAAGCACAAGGCTTTGAAGAATGCAAATCATGTTTTTTTTTTTTTTTTTTTTTTGGCCAACGTACCTGAAAATCAGCTGTGAATTGTAACATACAAAACTCAATAAAACAAATATATTATTTAGTTTCAAATGCTTTTATTTGTTTTAATTTGTTTTTATGAATATGGACAATATTTTCTGAAAGCAAAAAATTTTTCAATGAAAATTGAATTTTTAATACAATTATTTCTTATTTCTTTAATTTTAAAAAAGATTTTAAAAAATTTTTAAATTGAATTTTAAAAAATATTTTAACATTAGTTAAAAAAGCAACATCAACCTTTCAAAATGTCCGTGTGAGATTGTCATTGTCTAGCGCTTTGAAAATTGTATAATTTGGACCAATCAGATTAGCCATGGTAATTAAGAAATGTAATTTTTGTGTTTATAGTCGGACAGTAATTATCAAGTACGGAAGACCAACCAGAATACAATTTAGTTGCATTATTTGAGTTCAGCATTGTTCTCCGCTGTTAAGCCCTTTACTTTTGCGAAACACGTATGGAGAAGTTAATTTGAGTTTTCAATTTCAACTGAGAAGGGTACCTACAAGTAACAGTATCATCTTATGAAATTTAACTACTGCTAAACTTTAATTTATATGATCTTATTTTTTATATTAATCTCAGTTATGACATTTTTCCATAAATGAAATATCAAAATTAATAATAAAATGAATGGAAATACAAATAACACAGTAAAATGTAATAAATGTACATAAAATTATAGTATTTTATGTACATTTCTGATAAAATTTCATAAGAAAGGTACCTAAATTAATTAGATAACTTTTTCTTATGAAATTTAATCTCACTATTAACAGTCTTTTTTTTAATTTCTTTATATTTTCCATAAAGCATCGTAAACGTAAAAATGAAAGCTAAGTACAAAAAAAAAAAAAAAAAATAAAAATTAGAGCGCTGAAAGTTTTCCTTAAAAGTAACAAGGTAAATAATTTGTTCACTTAAATAATTTCACTTCCTTCCATCCGTAGAAAGAATTATCCTCCCGTAAGTTATCTAAACGTCATGAATGTGCCTTTCGTCAATCGTCAAGCGACGCGAAAGGTTATGACCTGCTTTGTTTTATTTTCAAATTACATTTTTTCGGCGCAGAAGCTAAGTTAAGCTTGGTTCAAAATATTTTAAATAAACAGTATAATTTCTGTTTTTATTAAAATCAGTTTTGAAAAAAATGATAATTGATTTTTAAAAGAATATCAAAGTCAAGATTTTAATCTTTTTTATCAAATCGAAAAATGATTGAAAATGATTGATTATCTGTCCTTTTTTTTTTACCAAAAAAAAATATTTTTAACGAAAATTTCAGACGTGCTAGGAACGATTAAAAAATGTAAAAAAAATATCCCAAAATACTTTTTGATCTTTCCTCTTTAATAATAATATGAACATTAGACGATAAAATTTTGTTTTCGTCAAGTTCGGCTTTTTTTTCATCATGCTATGCTCTTTTGTTTACATTTTCGTGGGTGAGTTGTCCCCTTTCATTCTCACGATGTGTCTTAATCGTGTTTTTTAAATTGATTTTATTAAAAAACAACTGTATTTTTCCCATTTTCGGCCCCATTAGAACCACCACAAGGTAATTTTATGTAGTCCTGTGAAGTTTTGTTGAAATCAGTTAAAAATGTAGGAAATTCGATCCAATATATAAACGTTACAGACACACACACACACACACACACACACACACACACACAACTATGTAAGTTATATTTATTATATATTTATATATATATATATATATATATATATATATATTTAAATATATTAATATACAATTATATTATAACAGAAAAGATTTTTTGTTTTTAAATATGAATTTAAATATATATTTATATATATATATATATATATAAATATATATATTAAAGTTCAATCATATATTATATTTAGCAAACCCTCAAAAGATATAATATCAGAGATAGAGCTTTTATATTTCATTGGATTATGTGTTTGTGACCCTGGGTTTAGTTTTATCTAGTCAATAAACATATATTTATTTTTTAAAATTTGGGGTTTTATAACATCTGTAAGATGTTATAATGGGAGTAATCAATTCTCGTGATGTCAAAAACCAAACGCAAACACCTATTTATGTCAACACATTGTCCTGGAACCATCACACATTCTCGTCATCTTCACTCATACATATATGAATGATGAGTTTGGGCACATTTTTATTTATATAATTCTATTTAATTTTTATATATATATGATTTGATATATATATATATATATATTTATTTTTTCTTTGATTGTTACTTTTTAATAAGTTACTTTTTAGACATCTGTTTATCTGAACACTAAATTACGTTTATAAATCGGAGAAATTCAACCTTTTGTGTAGATTTAACGATTATGCCATTTACTGCCCATCACCATATGGAAACTTGAATTTTTAATCTGAAAATATTTCTTATTTCAAAGGAAACAGGGCATTTACATTTGCTCGTGTAATAAATAAAAACAAATAACAAAAGGTTTGTTTCATTTCAAAAGGAGTTTTGTGAATTTTTTAAGATTTTAAAGTAAAAACTTTATAACATTAAATAAAAACAAAGTTTAATATATCTATATAATAAAACAAAAAATGAGAATAACATTTTTTTTAAGACAACAAATGGTGAGATGAACGTTGAAATATCTCATCATCTTCAAAAAAAAAAAATCATCCAGGATTGGGATTGAATCCGATTGCAAATTTAGCTCTCTGTTGAAATTTTGATCAAAACCGATGAACTTGGCAAAAAGATCTCAGAAATTTTGAACAAATATTGATTTTGCAAGAGAAACTATGAAAATGCAGAGAAATTTTGAGAGAAACAGGATACAACATAGAAGAACAGACAATTAAAATGTTCAAAAAATTACTTTTCTCCCTCATATTTAATTTGACGTAAAAACGCGTATCAAACCTCCTTGATGACAAAATGAAACAATTCAGGTCTATTTTTTTTTTGATGCTCCTGACAGGCCCAAGTCGAAATCATTGTTT